TTTTGAGTCATTTTGCTTGTAAAAATGGAAGTTCGAACAAGCTACAGCGTTACAAAGCGACCGCTCACCGAACCGAGCAAAACAGCTCCAAAATAGCTCCGTTTTCGTGTACCGCAGGCTGATTTCTGGAATCTGCCTCCGCTCACCAAAACGTCAGCCATCTCAGCCCCTTGGAATCCCCCGGGTGGCACAGGGCTGGATGGGGCTTCGGTATAGTACCGGGCGTTGAACACTCCTTCACAAGTTCGTACGTTGCCTTGACGGGAACTTGTTGTCGCGCTCGGGACTCGGTGAGCAGCTGTTTGTGGGCTTGCAGCTGTTCGTTCAACCTTCTAAAGCCTTGTTTTCCCCCTCTCCCTCTTTTCTCTTATGCACGCAAGGTGCTCGCTGAATTGCTTGTAAAGCTTCCCCTTTTCGCGAGACTTCGGGACTTGTCTGTTGCTCGTTCTTTCGAACTAATCAACTTTCTCTTTTACAGGTCCTTCGGGACCTGCGAGAGGTTGCAAGTGGGCTGATCTTTGTGGAGCAATATCGCAAGGGCGAAGCGCGACTTAGGCAACGCAAGCTAAGTTCGCGTCTTGGCCGCAAGGGTGCCTCACGCCTTAGACAATTCCAGCTAAGACCGTGACAGATCGTCGCAAGTAAACATATATAAATTATATATGGAGATTGTTAAATATTATTTGATGCATTCTATCTTTATTTTCGATACTTACATTTAGATGGTCTTAATTGTTTCAACCTCTATGATGATATTTATTTGTTCACATTGTTGAGTTTATAAATTTTAAGTATATATACTATAAACCTCATCTTAATCAAATATTATACATATATATTAAAAAATACGCATGTCCTTGCCATGTCCGTGTCCTAATATTTTTAAAAAAATGGCGTGCCGCCATGTCTGCGTCGTGTCATGTCTGTGTCCAATGTTCGTGCTTCTTAGGTTTAAGCCAACACGTGCTTCTTAGGTTTAAGCCACCATAACAACCTCTACACATTTAACCAAAGCAAACACTCTAAGCCATTTGTTTTTTTAATGATAATACACTGGATGCATCTCAGTCCAACCAATTTATTATTGAATAGGTTAAAAATGTCTGCAACAAGATTATTGAAGTCAAACCAATCTCTCACTTGTCATTTGGTGCTAATCAGTCCACAGAAATTTTTTTGACCCAAATTTCCAACCCAGGAACCATGTCGCACTTGTTTCATTAAGACTTCATGGAGAACTGAGAGAACATAGAGTCACTGGATGTTCTTTCTCTCTGGAGAACAAAAAAGTCTTCTTGCTGAAGAATATCGTGATTAAGATCATCATTTACTTCCATTCCATGTTATAATAGACTTTGGTATTATTTCCAACTTTTTTTATGATAATATCTGGGTTATGGATAACTGTATTACAATTTATTATCTTGGTATCACATATCATCACCTTGTGCAATGCTCTGTTATTATACACCAAGTGAAAGTGTAAACTCTATATGAACATTTGACATTTGGATATTTGTCATACCAAATTTACCTCTTTGTATTCACAACATCTGAATTCACATTAGTGGCCCAAAATGGTTTCCTAGCACTAACTATTTTATATCCATAATGGAAATCTGCAACAGTGTGTCTTGGTCATGCTATTTATAATGCTGTTTCTGCTCTACGAAGTTTCTTACAGTTCCTTGGTGCCATCATAAGACACATCCAAACCAAAGCACATCATCATATGATAATAAACAATATAGCTTATGCAAGTGTACGTGATGGACATAAGTGAAAAGGCAACATTTCATTGCAACAATCCCTTCACAAAAAAAAAAAAAAAAAAATCCAGTCACTCAACCCAAAGACATTACTCAAGATTTAGTTAAAAAGAATACTACAACATATATAATAAATAAAAAGTAAATGCCCACCAGAACATAATAAGTGCTATTTCATTGATTCTCAATCTGTAAGAAGCACTATATCAACAAAATAAATCTTAGAATTAGTGTATTCTGAGCAATTAGAACTCCAATTATTCATCCTAAAAATATGACTTTCTTGAGTTATCTGCAGAAGAAATCTACAGTGATCATTATAGATTCTTCAACCTTTGGAAGGTTTATTGACCTTGACCAGAGTGTGGCCCACTTCTCTATAATCTAAGCAACTAATTAACGATGATACCTGCATAAGAAAATACCTCGGTCCATATATTGATCTGCAAGGTAAACCACTTATGGTTCCATTGATATTTCCAATATCCTCACATAATCGATCAACATAGTAGGTCAGACATATTCTAAACAGCTCCACTTACTTCCTTATACACCTTAATAAAAAAAAGCGCAGCTTCAGTAGGTTAACTGAAGATCAGAAAGGGAAATATCAGAGGCATTGTTTCTTGTCTCGAAAATGTGATCTTGATAAGTTCTTTGTTCTTCGGTAGACCTTGAAGCTTTTAGCTAATCACATTCTACCACCATAAGGTCAGCCCTAATACAACTGTTTTGAATGAACCAAGTTTCTAAAACAAATAGGTGATACTAGAAGTTGCATAAGTATTGTACATTAACAACAAGATATGACAGAAAAAAAACGTGTATACAGGTTGGAGGCAGAAGGAAAGATATTTCCGCTTTAATTGTAAATGACATAATACCATACCCTACTAATGCTATGAATGATCACCAATTGTTACACTAAGTTTCACGCCTTCGGAACAGAAATATTGGAAATAAGGCAAACAGGGTAGCTCAAAGCTAAGATTTCATGCACATCCAGTGTTGCGAACTCGCTACACAAATAGAACCAGCGACCAAGCCCTGGATTCACTCCGCAACAATGGAAACCAATAAACATCAGGGTCAAACCCAGATCATCCAAGAAAGCGCAAGAATCAGATCCAAAGAGGACAAGGCGGGGAACTCACGTCGAGGACATGGGTGACGCCGAGGGCCTTGAGGATCTCCCCACTGGGGGCGTTGTCCAAGGTAGAGGAAATCCTTCAGGATCTCTGTGGGAAAGGCGGAGGGAAATCCTGTTGGGTCGGCCGCTCGAAGGCGGAGGGGACGCGGTGGCCGCAGACCCCGCCCTCCTTGGGTTCATGAAACTCAATCTATGCGTACACGTGGAGAAAAAGAAGCGGGTGATGACGAGACCCGTCGGCCATCTGATGGAGAGAGAGAGAGAGAGAGAGTGGGTACATAAACCATGGTTGTATTTGGATTTATAAACCATGGTTGCATTTGGAGGGAGCCCAAAGGAAAGCATAAACTCGACCCACCAGCGGGCCCACAGCGGAGGATACAGTTTCTCGTAGTGTGGTTAACATAATCTATGATACAATATGTTTTCTTCTTTCATCGTCTGTTAATATCGCTTCACAAATTTATTGTATCGGATAGGTCGGTTTTAGTGGGTTAAGAAGAAGAAGAAGAAGAAGAAGAAGAAGAAGAAGAAGAAGAAGAAGAGGGAGTTAAATTTCAATCGTAGTTGCCCAAGTTGTAATCTGTTGCTTTTTCACGAAGAGAAAGAGAGACGAAGTCATTACGCGAGGACAGTGGTTTTTGGGGTGGGAAGATGCCTACTTCGTATTAAGTCTTATCCGCTGCTTCTCTCTCTCTGTCTGCTCTTTTCCCACAGTCGCTGCTGCTGCTGCTGCTGCTCTCAAAAGCAACCGAAGACGAAGAGTCGGCTCGAGGTTTGTCTGAAAGATGGAGAGCGTGGCGGCCCGTCTGGGCCGGTCGTCGACCCGCTACGGTCCAGCAGCGGTCTTCAGCGGACCCGTGAGGCGGTGGAACAAGAAGTGGGTCCCGCTCTCCAGTCCCGACCACCACCGTCGCCGCAACAACGGCGCCAACCCCCACCTCCTCCTCTACAGGTGGACACCCGTCTCCTCCGCGGCTGACGGCGGCGCAACCACCGCCACCCCCTCCAAGGACTCTGCCACTCCCCCGCCCGAGGAGCCGCCCCGTAGGAAGTTCCGCTACATCCCGGTAACCCTCGTCTCCTATCCTTCCCTTTCGATTGGGTGCTTAATTCTTCGGCACAAGTCTTCTGCGACTCACGGGTGGGCGAGGTTTGGTTCTTGTGGAATTTGGGAAGGAGGGTCTCTTTCTCTTTCTCTCTCCCTCTCGTGATACACGAGTGCTATTTTGTTGCCCCTCTTATGATTTTGGTGGGTTTCCTCCCGAGAACAGTATGAATGATGAAAAAATCTCTCTCCTCGGAAGAAGAAGAAGAAGAAGAAGAAGAAGAAGGCGACATCTTGCTAACGGAACGCGAATTTGGGTCCTTTTTTTTTTTTTCTTGTTCATGATATGGGTTTAATCAAAAATAAAAATTTAGCTGCTTTCTATCGTGACTCTTCCTCGGAAAGGAGGCAGGAAGATGTTGTCGTCTTTGTTTCTGTGAAATGTACACTGATGGTTAAATTTTTGAGAGGGATGACGGCGAGTGGAAATTTTGCTGATGATACAGAAGAGTAAGTGGTTGTTGACAACATGATGGCTGGGTCGGTGACATCCAACTCACATGTTCAGATGGAATGCTAATTGAAATCACCTTGTCCGCATCTAGTGCTAAGTTTTTCAAAGACTATGAAAACCTGGTTGTGTGGAAGATATAGTCATGACGATTCCTTTTTCTTTACTTTATCAGCGAGGGAGTTACGTATAAGATGCTAACTTGAAGATGTTGGAGTAGTATGGTAATGGTTATGGGCTTATAGAAATATTTCTCGAGTCTATACAAAAAGCTTCTCATAGCACACAATTCTAATTATACCGTGAGTGTGTTGAATGGAGCTCCAGTGAAATCAGATGGTTTGTCTTCTTGGTTGGGGTTGTATTGTGTTGTGTTGTTAAGAAATAGACAACTTCCATGTATAAGATCCTGAATGATTCCTTAGAGAACCTTAGAGTTGGCCATGCATAATATTTGATAGTTAGTATTAAGATTCTTTTGGCTTTCTGTGGTTAAGTTGGATAGAAGGTTATATGGACATGGCTTGTGAAAAGCTTATGCCCTTATCCCTTTTGAACTTTTGGGTTCTGACGGTTTCTAGTTATTCTCTAGCACTATGAAGATAATTGAGACTGTCCCCCTTCAAAAAAATTAGTTGTCTGCTGAAATTATTGTTGTATTTTTCTTCAAAACAAGATATATGTATATATGTATGTATGTGTACTTACATCAGGGAGATTCAGTAAGTTTCAGTTTTCACCAAAATCGTAACCTAAATCACCAAATCAGAAGATAAAAGCTTCATATTTGGATCAAAATTGTTCTCCTCTATGCATTTGTGCCATTCTGCAGCCTTCTTTAGCACCATATGTCAGCATTTTCTCGTTATTGACAGAATATTATCTTCTCTTATTTATCTTTGCTCATTATAAATACAGGTGTGTGTTATAAGCATCTCTATATACTAACTTGATCATTTTTTATTAGTCATGTTAGGTAAATCCGATGTAGATTCTGGTCAGGCTTTCTAGTAGATGAGTGTAACTTATGAATAATGCAGATTTCTGTCGTTGAGGAGAAGAAGAAGGAGGCTTCACCAAAGTCCAATGAGGAAACTAAAAAACCTAATGAAACCGACAAATTCCCACGTATAGGCCAAATCAATCCTTCAGGCAAAATACCTGACATGAAAGATGTCTTGGCGGAAGAAGTTCAGGTAACAATTAATTTCTATATGCTTCCTGGCTGCATCTTTCTCTATAGAATATGCCTACTTCTACCATTACCATGAGTTTCCATAACGTATTTCAATTTATTTGTGGCCACTATGTGGACCCTAGTGCTTACTTCCATAATATATTTCAAATTATTTGTGGCCACTTTGTAGATCCTAGTGCTTGTTTCCATTTCATACATATATTAAAAGGCTGCTTCGATTGATATGCTTCGTATATTTTCGATGTTCACTTTGACTCTCACAACTACCACTTATGAAATACATGCTCGGTGGTGGTTCTACATCGGTGGCATGTTTGTAACAATCAGATTAGTTCAAGTTGGGAAGGTCAGAAGGATTGAAATAGTTAGTTATTTGCATTGCCCTGTTCAATGCGACCTGGGATGAAAACTGTAATTCCAGTATACTTGGTGTAAAGCAGAAAGTTAGCATCTAAACTTGTTGTTCCACTGAACTAAAGTTGTGAATCGAAGGTGGCGAGATTGATATACTTTGAATGATCTGTTTATTAATCTGTCTTTTGTTCGTCTTCAATCATGCAGTCTACTGGCTTAGCGAGCCTCGAGCAGCTAGATATCTGGTCAACCTCACGCCATTTATACTTTGGAATAGGATTCCTTTTGCTCTGATACCATCCTGTTCTGTATTACCTGAATAGTTGGATCAAACAATGCTTGTTGATTTGTATGACACAGATATTGATGCTTGGGGGTTTCAAGAGATGCGAGTGAAGTCCTAATTTTAGTATCTTTTTCCAGGTACCATACAAGGATCAGGTTCCTTCAGAAGAGGGTAGTGGAACTGATTTGGACCTAAGTCTGGGTTTGAGAGCTCCGGAGGGTGATCATGAGAAGGAACTCAGAACAAGTAAACAAGGCGAAGGCCATGGCAAATCGGAGAGAGCAGCAATAAAAGCAGAAGCGCGAAACAAGTTGAAGCGGAAGGTCGTCACCCCGGACCTTGAAATGAGAGTGTAATGTAGGAGGTTGAGTTTGTGCTTAGTGTAAGCTCTTCGTCATGCACGCGCAACTGATGCAATTGTAGTGATCTATCGTTTAAGCTTTAAGCTTGTGCGGTGTGGTGTTGTGGTTTCTTCTCTGGGCCTTTTTATTATCTCGAGTTAATTTGGATGACTGCTGTGGTTGTGGTTGTGATTGATGAATGAGGCACTTGGTGGTTCCGACGATAAAATAAATTGCAAATTCTGGATGCAAAGGTCGATCGATGCGAAGTCAATTGTTTGCATACATCTGAACAGGAGTGAAGCTGTGGAGCTGATCAAGTACTCCTCCTTCCCACTTGGACGAAGGCTGGGTCGGGTTGGGCTTGCATGCAAGCCCTGTGGGCCTGCATGCAGTGTGGGTTTGAAGGTTACCGGCCATTGTTGCCCGCCTTGTTTCCCTTCGGCTTCTTTTCCCGTAAACCATCTCCCCGATCACTATGGCATTGTTTAGTAGAGCTCTGGGACATGATGGGATAGGTGGAACTTTCGGTGTCGATGCTGATGAGTCTGAGAAAGGGCGGGGAAGGAATCTTCCGAGGGAATCAATAGGCAGGAAGATTGTTGGGTAAACTCGATAAACATCCCCAGTACCTTTTTTACATCCACTCTCTCTTTCGCTGCTTAACCCCCCAAAGATCATGTCGCCATCGACTAGATCCGCATCATCGATCTGAAACATAATCTTTTGCTTTGTTGGCACTGGAATCTCCCGAAGTTGTCTATTTTGACTATAAGGATGATCTTGGAGATGTACCTTTTTTTTCCTCTAGCAAATCTTATGAGCAGATTCAGTGTGAGTGGAGCTAAAGGAGCAAACCAGAAGAAGCTAGGAAGATGACCCGAGATATATCCTTTACAGTCTCAGTTGTACGTGGCAGAAAACCTCTGTGATGTTTCGTTGGTTGGATGAGTTTGACTTGCGATTCCACGGTGAGACCAAATCTAAAGAGGGGGAGATTTGGGACTAAAGAGACATTAAAGCGGACTAGTAGTCAAAGTTACTTGGTCGACGGGCTGGTAGTGGAATGGTTAGTAGGGGTAATCAGACATTATGATAAAGAAATTGGACAGATTAAAAGGTGTAAAGTGTCTTAGCATAGAGATTAAGTGTTAGAAGATATTTAAGTAGCAGGAGAGATTAAGAGAAAATAATCTCACATCGATAAATATCGAGAGAGAGAGAGAGAGTCTATCTAGTTCACAATCTAACAACCTAAGCTTTTGGATTTAATTGGTGTCTAAATCAATATAAGTTAACCTGACTAATTTGACTCACTTACCATTAATGAACTTTTTAACATGGTTTCATTGATGAAATATACTTTTAGGAAGAAGGCTTATGGAGAGAATCTTTAGCACAGAAATCATCACCTTTTTCATATTAATCTGTAATATTACTCACAATTAAAACGCTATAGAAAGATGGAAGCCTCGAACCAAAGGGAGAAGTCAAAAAATATAGCACATAAATGATGGGGAAAATAAAAAAGGCAAAGCTGCAAAAGTTGGAAGATTAATAAAGCGGAATATATGTTGGCAAAGATCCGACAAGTTACAAAATGAAACATATACATCAAAAGCTTTTCTTGGAGATGAGAATCATAGCATGACAATCGAATAATTGTCGTCGATAGGCTTCTCAATTAGCATATGTTTGAATCATGCTTATCGTGATAAGAAAAACGAAAGAAGAAAGAAGCTTCGAGGATGGATGCCCACAGGTAGGTATTAGCCTCCATCCCAAACTCGGTATGTGTTGGTGCAAAAGTACGCTGGGCTATGGTATCCTATGTTTCTTCTGCAGCTTCGCACTGCTTTGTGTATATCAACCTCTGTCTGTCTTAACGAGTCTCCTCTCGATCGCTGTCGCTCTCGCTCATCGATCGATGCAGGTTATTAATTAACCTTTCTGGGCATTTGTGTGTATTTTATTTATATATTGACCTCCTTTTTTCCTTGGTGCTGATTCATGATCGATCACCCCATTTAATTATATTACGGTCGTCTGACATGCAGAAAACTGGCTTTTGCACTTATGAGACCATGGAATTGCACCCCTTCATCGATTGAGAATCTGGACCCTGGTCCGTGGCCGATATCTTCCTTGTCTTCTCCGTAGGCAAGAGGAACATTTTGGTCCAGCTCCTCTTAGTTTTCCTCTACCAACCAGTCACTCTCGATGGTTGTATTCGATCAGATGTAAGAGCAGAAAACTGTGTGTAGCGCTGCAACCGAGCTTTCGTGTCGTGAGTTATCTTCACGACGGGTTCATGTGCTGGACTGCTAAGAGATTGCGACACAAGAGAGAGAGAGAGAGAGAGTCGGAATCAATCAATGATGTGTAGAGGTGTCTATGTGGTGGACTAGTGGTGCATATTTGTAGCACATATGTTTTTCTATGTTCCAATTCTTCCATTGCTTTTCATGATATCATACTTTGGTCCCCATGTGTTTTGATCGAGTGCGTAACCTTTTCCTGACTTTATTAACTCCACCTGCGCCTACTTCCTCAAACTTGTCGCTGCCCGTCTCAGTTTTTAGGTCATTCTTATGGCGGACTTGCGCTTGCTAATGTAAATGCTCAGCATGAGTGACGTGGTGGTCAGGAAATTAAGGAACGGATGCAGGGCAGAAGCGAGGAGAGGAAGTGATAGAAACGGAGAGAGGGAGAACCACAAGACCTCCGAGGGGATTCCTTAGGGATGGACTTCCGATGACGTCAAGTCGGTGCAGTCATTGCGGTAGAGGTAAAACTCAGCAAAAGAAGAGCAGCTTTTGTTTTGTTTGGCTGTCTGTTTGGCTATTTGCTCCTTCTCTTCTTCTTTTCCATCCCGTTTTGCTTTAGATTGTCTTCTTGCAGCTTGTTCTCATTGATTACTGCTCTTCCCGTTTAGCCGATGGCACGCGCGCGGAGTAGAAGAGAAGGGAGAAGCAGATTCTCTTGCCGCTTTGAATTGCCGATGAGTGAGATCTCTTACACTCTGTTCAAGCCGGTTGACAGCCGTGGCACGTAGAATTGGCCTACGACTCCTCTGATAATAATATCAGTGACACCTTAATTTCTTTACCATCTTATATTCGGGCGGAGGAGGGAAGCAATGAAGAAGAAGAAGAAGAAGCTGAAGTTTTGATCGTGTCTGTCGATATAAAGCCCCGGATCCATCATCGCTCGGAGTGTGCGAATCATGAAAGGGAAGGCATATGCAATGATCGTGAAAGTAGACGGCGGTGGTGATGGAGAATTCGTATCCGGAGGTGTGGGCCCGAAAGCATTCCATCAGGTTTGGCTAATGGTGCTTTCGCTTGGGGCCTGCAATATTCCATTTGTTGGCTAATCAGCAGCTTCACCGAGATGCCTCCTTGGTTTCGTATTGATGTGAGAGAGTTCGGTGGACGCTGGTCTTTGAGGGTGTGCTTCTTCGCTAGGTTATTGCTGTGTCCCTCTCTCCCTGCAGACACATGCTTAAACCTGGGAGAAACTAGGTAGAGTTGATGAATAAAAGTATAGAGAGAGAGAGAGAGAGAGAGAGAGATTGCTTGTTCCACAGTCTCCTCATGCTTTCCGACAACAGGGGGAGGGGATCTACAAGAAAGTTATCGGAAAGGCCATTAACGGAGATCCCACTAGGTGATTAAACAAAAGAATGTTGGAGTCGGGAGGGTGTGCTGCATGCCTGCCTTCCTCCATTCAATTATTGAAAGCTTTGGGGGGGTGGGGGGGTGTCTAGCTAGGATTGAAAAGGAGCGACAAGAAAAGAAGAAAAAGAAAAGACGAGGGACAAACAGAAGATGGCTGATGCCGCCAGTTCGGAGGATTAGGATCAGTCTTTTCTTTTCTTTTCTTTTCTTTTTTCGGTTGATCACGCCTCAATGTAAGCATCTCTTTTCGTGTATCCTATGCGTGCTTCTTCCCTACTCCCCACCCCACCCCACACCATCTCTCTCTCCTCTCCATTCCATAGTTTCCCCTGCGCTTTCTACCGGATTGGAATGCTCCCTGCCCACTCCTCGGCATCGTTTAGATTCCTCCTATCTACCTTCGATTAGCCCCATCATCATTCATTCCTGAGACGACACCAGACGGAGCCCCTAACCCAACCCTAGCTGGGAGCCCCCAAGTCCCACCCCACCCCGGGCGAATTGCTGGTGAGAGATCTGGGGGTTGCACCACAGTGGATCTGCAGAGAAGCTGCCAACCTCTGCTCCTGCAACAACTCAAACTACTTCTACAACTATCGCTACTCCCACACTGGTGTTTTTTTTTTGGCAGATCATGTCCTGTGAAGATAGCTGCTAAATCTCGACATGTCCTATTAAACCAAAGGGATGCAAGTTCCAGAAATCTCCCTCTACTCATGTTCTTCTTCTCCGCCACTGCATCACCAATCCTCCTCTCTTGGCTCCCCCACCGCCCCCATCCACCACTCTGGAGACATGCTTAGCTCACTGATGTCCGATGGAGGAGGAGCTCGAGAAACCCACCCTCATCCCAGTCATCACCACCCGAGCCCTCAAAACGGCCTAATTTCCTCGACTATCCATGCTCGACAACTGTTGATCAGCTGTGCCGACCTTGTCCACCGCGGCGACCTCCCTGCTGCTGACCGCGCGATCTCCATCCTCTCTGCAGCAGCATCCCCCTGTGGCGATTCCACCGAACGCCTCATCCGCCAATTCTGTCGTGCCCTCTCCGTCCGCGTCGGCCGCGTTTCGCCCTCCGCTGAATCTTTGGGTTCCCTCCGATCATCATACTTGTCCTTCAACCAAATCTCCCCATTCCTCCGCTTCTCGCACCTCACCCCAAACCAGGCAATCCTCGAGGCGGTTGATGACCACCGCCAGATCCACATCCTCGACTTTGACACCTATTACGGCCTGCAATGGCCGCCTCTCCTTCAGGCCATCGCTGAGCGCTCCGATCCCAGTGATCCTCCCTTCATTCGTATCACCGGAACCGGAAGCAACCTGGAAGTCCTCCGACGAACCGGTCACCGGCTTCAAAACTTCGCGCACTCTTTGGGCCTAGGGTTCCAGTTCCACCCTCTTCTCCTCCATCCCACAAGCACCAGTTTGAATTTCACCCCCTCTCCTTTCCGACTCCATCCCGGCGAGACCCTTGTGGTGAACTGTGTACTGTTCTTGCATAAGTTGCAAAAGGAGGGCGGGAATGAGGACGGATCCAGGGATCTACAAGCATTTCTGCGAACCATACGAGCGATGAACCCGTCGGTGGTGACGGTGGCAGAGAGGGAAGCAAGCCACAACTCGCCAAACTTCATGCAGAGGTTCGTAGAGGCGCTGGACTACTACATGGCAGTGTTCGAGTCATTGGAGGCGACGCTGCCCCCGACAAGCCAGGAGAGGCTGGCGGTGGAGCAGGTCTGGCTGGGGCAGGAGATCGAGGGCATTGTCGGCGGGGAGGGTGGCGGGCACGAGAGGTCAGAGCGATGGGAGAATGTACTGCGTGACGCCGGATTCTCAAGCGTTCAGCTCAGCAACTTCGCGGTGTCGCAGGCGCGGCTGCTGCTCCGGTTGCACTATCCTTCGGAAGGCTATCAGGTGGAGCTGGTGAGGGATTCCCTCTTCTTAGGGTGGCAGAACAGGCACCTCTTCTCCGTGTCTTCTTGGCGTTAAAGAACCCGGAGGAGGAGAAAAAGGAAGTTCCACACGTTGCTCAACTACAACTATTGTTGCCAACCTACTCGTTCTTTGGTTTCGCGATGATTAGCCAAACCATATCAAATGGGCAAGTTTCGCACATCGATCTATGCATATCGCTGAGCGTTCGTTGTGTAGACCATCATTAGACACCCTGGCTGGAAACCCTAACCCTAGCTTCTTCCATATTCTACTGGGAGGGAGGGAGGACAATGCGGATGCAATGCACGTTGCATGGGAAGTCTCGGAAGTTGTGAACACCAAAAGTCGTCTCCTCCTGCTTCCCAAGGTAATCTCCCTTCTGGTAGGGTTCTCTTCTTTCTGTTCTCTCTCTCTCTCTCTCTCTCTCTCTCTCTCTGCTTTATCTTTTGCATCCATTTGCCTGTGAACTGTAACCAGGATTGCTGCGCCATTTGTTAAGTAATCGCCTTGCATGCTGTGGATCATGTATTCCCTTTTTGTAGGTTTGCAATGATGTGATTTTGGCATCGAGGATATGGTTCTTTTCTTTCTTTAGGGAAGAAGCATATGATGGTAGTATTATGTTGTGATGTATGTTTTTGGTTTAGTTTATTCTGGCTAATTGGCAACCCACCAAATTGTTGGTATTTTATGTTGCAGCTTGCAGTGGCATCTTCTCTTTTGCTTGGTGCATGCAGGATGCTTTTTCGTGTAATAATCACGCTTGGTCACCACTAACCAGTATCATACAATATGCTTGATCAGCAAAGTCTCCTCCCATAAACAAATCAAGGGAAGAAAAAGCTACAAGAGGCTAGATGTGTTAAGATTTGATCTACGAGAGCAATCATGGCGTAGTGGATAGAGATCCTCGTCGATAGATTAGGTCGATCCCTTGTGCTCCATTCCTGTCTTTCTAACCTTGTTTATATCTTGTCTTTGTGTTCCCTCAAATCACCAAAAGAACAAGGTTACTCACAAGGCCAAATTTGGTCACACAAGTCATTCCATTTGGAAGATTTGATCTTCCATGTCCGATAAGCTTGCTTGGTTTGTCCACCCCCAAATTAAGATAGCTTATTATTTCGAGAAAGAATATAGACTCAGATGTGTGTATAAAACCAAAAAAAAAAGGATGCAAGATCCAACTGTTTATAGGAATTAATGAGAGGTCTATCAGGAAAAAACATTCGAAAATAGTATGCAAGATCCAACTGTTTCTTGTGATCACACAAGGCATGCAACATCGTTCATACGTCCCATCATATTCTCTCCTAATGATGATTAAACTGCATTCTTTCTGCCTTTATATCCCTCTCTTCTACCTTGAGATAGACGAAGACCATTGCGGAGATATTCTGATGGAGGGCAGCACGGTTGGCCAGATATGGATTACCATAAATGATGATATATATATATATATGCACCGGGTTTTAATTTCATGTAATCCTAGCGACTAAGTAACTTTGAATTTTATTTGTTAATGTAATGTTTTTTTATCATTGGAATCGTCTCTGTCGTCTGAGGGCAACCGAAAATATATAGACTTACAAAGTCATATGGCCGGCCATCTCTGGTCAGTTGTCTCCCAAAGTTCTTCATGACAGTAGCCATATGCAAGATAGTTTATTCTTCAAAGCGGTCTTACCTTGTTATATAAAACAAGACCCACCCCCCTTTTTATAGTCAGTTCCGTTCCATGGTGCGTGCCAATTCCGATGATGCTCTCCTCGGTTCTGTTCCGATGATGGTGCTTGCCGATTCCGATGATGCTTTCGTCGGTTCCGTTCCGTGGGACAGAAGAAGAGATGGTGCATGCCGATTCCGATGAGAAGGAAGGAAGGAAGGAAGGTAGCACATGAAATTATGAACTGGATTTGCTAATCGCCTGCGATGAGAAGAAGATCATACGATACATCAACTCCGAGCATTGCACAGCACAGCCACTGCGCTTACGACAGCATTAAAACAAGACATTTATTTATGTATTCGAGCGTTGAAAACATAGGAATTTAAACAAACAATGCTTATGCACTATGCATTCCACCTATGAATTTTTGGCCTAGCGGTTAATATCCTCATGGTGAAGAGATTAAAGATTGAATTAGTGCTCTAGATTTGACGCACGATCTAAATTCCCCAAGTGGAAGTGGTGATTCTTCCTAGAAAGACCAAAGAGCAGCACCGTGTAGTCAATTTCAGAGAGGCATGAGATGATGGATGGATGGACTGGGAAGGGAAACTACTGCAGATGAAGATATGTGTAAATGACTCTACATCTGTAGTTGCAATGATTAAGGTGGGGCGAGCGAGGACGAAAGGATGGAATCACTTTTGCTGGAAACTGAGCTTCTTATTTCCGTCTGCATGCACAAGCAGTGCAGATAGACATCCTAGATATTTTGTCCAAGTGCAAGTGCCAACACTCATGAAGGAGACATCATGCCCCCATTTGCATCGGGCCATGGCAGATGGTTGGTACCTTGGGACAAAGGCTTGGAACTCTACCATGCTCCTGGTACAAATGTGAGTAGCTTTTAGTTTCTGTGCCACACACAGCGATCGGATACCGATTACCAAAGGGATCGATCTGATGTTACAAACTCAGGCTTTAATCGTTCCTGCAATTATTGTAGTGCTTCATACGCTCTTGTTCTTCTTCTTCTTCTTCTGTGCATCGTCGGGATAAGAAGAACCTTATTCTCTCCACTGATTCATCTGTGTGTGAGACGAAGGATGAAGGATGAGATGTACTGGAAGGAACAAACAGGCCCGTCGCGCGTTTGCCTTTCGGAAGAGAGTGTCTGGCTCACAAGGATCCTCTGGCGATTCTAAAACCATCGATTCATCCACCCGTAGCGTAGGAGAAGCTGTGGGAAGCAAGTGTGAAAGCGGTCTTTGCATCTTTTCGGGCAACAGTACCCCGACATCTGACGGGAAGAGCCAAGCTGAGAAAGCACGCATGCATGGTCCACCCTCACCCAGCTAGCACAGGGAGGGCGACCGGCTTCCATTGATGCATCATCATATCTGGGCATCTTGTGCATTCCTTGGGACGTCATCCCGTGGATTCATGTGATCATCCCACCAAGTTAACTAGTAGATTAGATGTTCGGATGCACCTTCCTCCCCCTTCCTCCCTGCTCGATTTGGCCTCTTGTCAGATTCTACAGCTGGTGACAGGGACGGAACAAACCCAGGCTTAAAGCATGCCTCCTCCGACGAGAGGCCACCCACATCATGCGTAGGCAGGTAGGCAGAGATACACAAGTAATTAGAATGATTCTAAGCGGGCAGGCTTGTGTAACTGGTACACACTGTGCACACGGACGAGCTCCGGTAGATGCTCCAATTAGAGTGCATCTTTGTTTTATTTTTGTTTTTGTGTTTGTGTTGGGTTTTGAAGTGAGCTGCTGCTGCTGCTGCTGCTGCTGCCTAAGCAATGAGATTTTGGTACGTTGTGCATAGAGTTTACAGCATTACGAGAACGCACCCGTTGCTTCTCATTTTTCTAAAGGCTTTTCCTTCGAATGGCCGCCAGAAGGAATATGGTTTGACAAGTAGCGGGAGAGGAGATGGGAATGGGAATGGGAATGGGAATGGGTCCACACAGCACCAACAACGACTGACGAGATGAAAGTGTGTGAGCAGACATGGATTTATTACTGACTGGCAGTAATGCCAAAAAGTGTGCCCCCTCTGCAGAATCTGACTGACTTATTTGAGGCCCAGTAATGAGTGTGTGCGTTACCTAATAATTGGCATGCACACAAATGCACGCCAGGTCGACGGATGACACAAGTGTGGTGGCACGTATAAGATATACACCACAGAAGAAGAAGAAGAAGAAGAAGAAGAAGAGATGCGACAACACGCCCTCGCTCTCCATCTTATCATCATCATCATCTGCTTATGCAACAGCTACCTGTATTTATCTGACCATCCATCCATCCATCGTACGCTCAAGCAGCAGCATGCCATCGACGAGTAGTAGTAGTAGTAAGTAACACGCAACGCAAAAGAAATGTGTATTAGCTACTGGATCATCGCTACACAATCAAATAAAAAGAAGCATAAATGCCAGATTGTCCTGCGAGATTTGCATGCATGGACGGAGGATCCCCGAGATACATAACACAACAAAGACGACAACGACAGGCATTAGGTTCACAGAGAGACGACGGAAGAACCATAAAAACGGGACGGGAGGTAAGATTTACAAGTTAAAACAGGACATACATATTACTAGTATTATCGTCGGTCGTTGTTTCAGCAGAGAGAGCAGAAACGAGCTAAACTCCTTACCGTGCTGTGTCCACTTCTATAAGTGAGTGGGTGATTCACATAAAAAAGATCAGAGAGACAGCTCGATAGTGGAAATAAGAATGCCGTCACTATCGGCATATAGCCATTCACCATCGTGGATGATGGTGCCCCCGATGTTGACTGTGACGTGCTTTTCACCGAGACCCTTCTTGTTGGATTTGAGGGGATGGCATCCCAGCGCTCTGACCCCGATGTCACAGCCATTGATCTCATACGCATCTCTGATGCACCCGTTCACCACAATCCCTGCCCATCCCATGTTCTGGGCTAATTGCCCCAGGTTCCCTCCCACCAAGGCGCATCTCATGCTCCCACCACCGTCTACCACCAGAACCCGCCCATCCCCCGGCGCCTCCAGCACCTCCCTCACCAACACATTGTCCTCGAACACCTTCAGCGTCACTATGGGTCCACAGAATGCTCGGCACTGCCCGTACATTTGAAACAATGGTTGAAGAACTCGTAGCTCCCCCTTCGCCAGAAGCGATGCATTTGCATCGCAAAGCTCAGCGGTTGCCAATGAACCCATCTGCAGCACAGCACAAGCCACCATGTTCAACTAGCAAGCCATGTATCTTTGTCCAGCATTAAAGGATAACAGGAGAACAGCGGTCGTAAGGCTCTGGATCTACTGATGATTGCTATTGCAGCCACAAGCTGCGTCGGTTGGCATTCATTTTTCTCGCTCGGTAGAAGCATGCATGTGGCAGAAAACCATCGGAAAAGAAAGGTGCACTCAAAACAGTATAATAAGAATGCAATACACAGTTGATGGATGCTCGGCGACAAAATAAACAAACGAAACAGCATTTAGCGCAATCTGACCACTCAGGAATTTCGCCAGATTGTCGGCAAATTTCATATAAGAGAAAAATAAAATGTTATTTGAGAGTCCTTATTAGGTAAATAATGTGATAGGATTCTGTATTTGAAATCCTTTTACTTTCTTTATTATGGACCCAAAACAAGCTAGATGGAAAATTCAAGTTATTGGCCAAATGGCACTCCGACTTGGCTGCTTTAGTAGAAGAGGAAAGATGACATTTGTTGCTGTTAAGCAAGACTTCCAAGAACCAAGATTTCTGGTATGCATGCACTAACTAGCTCACCTAAAGCAGCAACCAAACAAATTATGAAGATCTACAAGACAGAACTAGATATGATCAACAGCACCAGTAAAATCACTATTCAGTTGGGAGGATTCCTGATGTTTTTTCAGTGTTCAGTAGTATTCCCCATCAGTCCATGCACAGATCCACCAATGGGAATCTTTTTTAGGCTGGCCTTCTGATTCTGTCTGCTTTGGTGCATACTGATGCTTCCTTTCTATAGGATGGGTCTTTTATCTCTTCCCTTTTTTATCAGAGGCTAGGTTCGGTCACATTCTTCCGATAGCAAAATATACTATCACAATCTTATGTGACAAGATCCAGCAATAACATTCCAGTCCATTTCGGTCGATGTCGACAGTCATAGATTTCTTGCCTCAGACCACACTTGTCTTACCACTTTAATTAAATGTTCCCCCAAAAGTCCCCACAGGAAGTGGCTGTATGGACAGATTGGTCGGTGCACTGTGAAGGCAAATCCCACAATGAAACTTTCCAAGGGTTTGATAGTTCTTGCATTTTACACTCTTTGTAGAATGAAGGCAATGCTATAGACCTTTTGATACCCTAATCTTAAAGAGAAAACTAGATGAAGAAACGGCTACACTTGAAATATTTGGTGCCCTGAGGTATCAGCTTAAAAGCTGATAAACTCGATTTTTCATTCTCCTGATGTTTTCTCTTCCTTTGTTAAATTCATTTTCTTGTTCTTTGGTTGGCAAGACTTTTGTGTCTTTTGTTACATCGATTCCTTCTACCAAATTTTACATGAAGAGCAAGTGGATGAACTAAAATGTCATACTCATGGAAAGAAGAAACACCAAAGCAATATGAAAAGGTTAAAAAAGATTATATTAATTTCAAATTTAGATTACCCGATTGACATATCTTACTTACACAATGGTTCAAGAAACGAAAGGCAAAATTGAAGTCGATCAGCAAAAACAGGAAAGGATCGCATGACGCATTAACCCCTTTCGTTTTAATTGGAATCAAAAATAATTTTGTTGGTTATTCCAGTCTCCAAGAAAAAAGAACTAAAAGAATCTGCTCCTTAACTTTCCTCTCTAATTTTTCTCATCTGATCTCTAAATAAGAATGCATACTTAGAGCTAAAAGAATATGCTCCTTAACTTTCTTCTCTAATTTTTCTCATCCGATCTCTAAATAAGAATGCATAATCTTTGGTACTTTGGTGCCAGCCCATCAATCAATTGTCTCTGCGAGTTACCTGATACAGTGATTCTTTCTTGTTTTGCTTCCATATGTGCCATGTATCAAACTAGGAACTCTTGTCCTTGGTAGTAATTGGATTGTCATTGTGTGAGATATAATGGTAACATATACGCATAAGAGACTTTGTGAACATCATGATCTGCCCATTGATAAATCAATTGTCCGTGCGAGTATTTAGATTGTCATACTGTGAGATCTACTAATAAACCAATTGCACCTAAGAGACCTATGCGAGCATCATGATCTGTCCCTTGATAAATTAATTGTTGTCTATGCCATCTACAAGAGATTGACGTGAGCATCATGATGCAACCTTAATAAAACATCTATGTCATCTCGATTCCTTCTTCTACATCAATTAGAGCTCCAAGAAAAGATGGCACACCCCTGTTGAAGATGCGTTCAAAAATACATGGTAGAATACTAACAAAATGATCTGATTTTTTTTTATCATATCACAATTTAATCCGCACATGAAGACCCTCCTACAACAGAAGTCTTTTATTCTTGTACTACTTTATAAGCAAGCATGAACTAATGATGCACATGCATCAAGCAAGAAGCCTATGGTATCATCTTTCTCCTGATGTCTAACTCACTGCACTGAGCAGAAAACGGTAGCTACCAGTTGCTATTTATTGGAAAGTAAGACCTTTGCCGCTTGATCTATCACCAAGATGGACTCTATCATGGTTTTTCTGCTGTTTCGCGCATACAAATAAGACACTCAGACAAATTTATAGATTGTTTTGGACCACACATTGATTCCAAGCAACAGTCAAAAACTCGAGTCTCCAAAATCCAGTCCTGAAACATCTTTTGATGCATGAAAATCCATAGCAAAACAATCGAAGTCTGGTGTACGTTTTCTCCATAATAAAGCATGCACCTCAGGCAAAATTACCTGAAAACATCTACCTACCCGTGAATAGCACCAGACATTCCGTGGACAGATCAAACTCTAATGGTCAATTCTGCTGGTTGTCCGACGGCAAGAAACACGTGACAGCCCTGACTAATCTGAAAATGATGACAGATAGAACTTGCCACTGCACAGTAATACGCGACGTGCACTATTGCCCATCATAATTTCGATCCCTTAAATCTACTAGTGTCGAACAGCCAAAAAACATAACCAAACGTAAAGCGTGATCAAGAATTCTGAACAAGAAAAAGAATAAACACGTATGAGGGAACGTAAGTTCTTTTGGACAATACAACAAGCATCTAAAGCGCACTGAAGAACAGCGAGATTGGACACCGCTTAAATTAACAGGAATTTAAAAGCGCATCTCTACGCAGATTTCATACCTGGCAAGACCGCAAAAGGCGAAACAAGGTGTTGCCGAATTGGAGGTGGTCTCAGTGGGATCTGCTGGAGCGCGGGGACTGCCGTATCCCTATCGGAACTGGGGTGGGATATCGTCCTGGATCAGAATGGATGAGGCATAAGACGGGGATGCGGCATGGTTGGCGGCAGGAAGTTAGAGCTTTTGAAACGGCTTACGGAGTTGGGTCTGACACGCACCCATACCCCGTCCCGATAAAGACGGCGTAGGCATATACCATCGAGAGGATCCCCAGCCAACCGATGGGTGTAGCTTTGACTGAAGACCACCACCATGGATTCTATCCTGGCAGGCGAACTGTTCCCATCTTCATCCAGTCTATCGCCTTTTTACCGGCACGAAGGGCAAAGGGACTCCCTCAGATTCGTGTTTGACGACGAGGGGGAGGCAGCAGGACTATTCCTTGCACATGATGGACGCAGGTCAATCAAATCTACTTGGTGTGATTCCCACAAAAAGAGGAAAGAGACACGAGGGTGATGTAGTCAATTCCGATGGGCTGACCGACTCCGCACGTGGCGTACCACTACATCATTCATTCTCTTGATGCCACGCCACTACGATCTACATACCACCACGACCCACGTCAGCTAAATCTCTCTCTCTCTCTCTCTCTCTCTCTCTCTCTCTGTGTCACACACACACACACACACAGTTGCATCGCATGGAAGAGCATAAACAAGGAACAGGGATCACAAAGGATATTGCAGCATCTCGCACCACACTGAACCCTGTTTACAACACCGCAACACACGATGATTTGCATTGAGAAACGAATAGTTGCAGCAACGAATCAAGGTGGCAGAGACATTGAATTTTGTGCAGCGTTCGTTCAACATATAACAATGCACCAGGAACAACATAACCAGAAGCTATACCACACGGCAGGGATATGCTGAACCTAACACTAGTCAACATAAATGAAAACAATTCGCATGTTGTATGCACAAGTCCCTCTGGTAGAATTCTAGAATCCCTTTTATTGATTAAGCTACCAGATATCTGTCGACAATCTTCCGCAGAGGATCATGCTACCTGACTCTATTCTTCGCCTCTGTCTCAGCCTTTCACAAAGAATATCTTCACTTTGCTTTAAGCTGAGATACTCTTCCATGTCAAATGAAGACGCGGTTGTTCTGCTATTATAAGAATTCCCCTGGTGGTTTTCTGCTCCAAACTTGCTCCTACTTGGGTCGCTAGAAACTACAGAAGAGCTGTCAGTGCCATCAAAGCTCCGACTCCCAAAACTGCTTGCAATTTGATAGCAATTACTGAAACCAGCACTTGCTTCCTGCAAAAAATTTAGCTCAAGACTGTCATTTAACTAAATAGTCAGAGTCATAACATGATAAGATTCAAGCCAGGTGCTGTAACAAATGCACAAGCCAAGTTTCAGCATCATCTAGGGAGGGGTCAAGTCCCATGTGATGATATACTTCACCGACAGGCTTCTTCAAAGATTACAGGGGAAAGAAATCTAACGACCATCCAAATAGATAAAACTGTCTCAGAGAGAAAATGTGAAAGAGGTGAAACCTTAAATCTACTAGAAAAATCAATCGTTCGTACTGAAAAACATCAAAGCAAATGTAACTCACAAATCCAAACCTTTTTATGCTTTGTGCACGGGATTTTCAATTTTAACAGAATGCATGAACTTGGGAAACTTTCTATAAATTCCAATGTCAAAAGAGCTCAAGAACGAAACATATTGGTTCAAAATGGAAGGTCAGCTGCAAACTGAAAGCATGCTTTTTGGAGCAATGGAACAAACTAGAAGAGGATAAGAAATTCTTATCTCAAGTTATACCATAGTGTTTCATATGAAGATTATTTTCAAAATGATGGTGAAACAAGAATCCGAGCAGACCAACATATACATCAATGAATAGTATCAGTAATCACATGTTGATATCTTCAAGTTTGTTCAGCACTCAGACAACTAAAGAAAAATAATATTCCCAACTTTCACAGTCCATTCAGATCCAAAATGAGAAAATGATTACCCTAACAATGCTACTGGCATAGTAAATGAGAAGAAACTGTAAAGATCAAAAAGACCAAAAATAAATAAAAAATGTGCTGGAAGTGCTGCAGTGCATAACTTATTTCCTGAGGAGACAGACAATCCTACCTTGCTTTTGCATGGTGAGGAAGGAGCAACACTAGTTTCCCACTCCAACCAGGGAAGTACAACACCGTCTCCATCAGCAGGCAGAGGAGCAGTTTTCAATACTCTTTCATAAGTTCCCGCTACAGAATTACGTAATCCAGGATCTCTTACGATTGAACTAGCATCACTTCTTTCTTCATCGAAAGAAGATATGTCTGTATCTTCAACATTGAAAAGGAAATCTTCAAAATACTTCTCTGCCTCTTCATTCAAGCATTTAGACAGTCTTGTTCTATCTTTGCTCCTCTGGGTAATACTTTAATCTATTAGATATGATGTCATAAGAACGTATATGCTTTTAATCATTATATACAATAGAATTCTTACTCTTCTGGACTGTGATTGCCTTTCTGGAACAACAGATATTTTTGGCGAAGGAAGCAACTCTTTGACAATTTTGCTAATCTCCTGACCACGTTCCTCCTCCATTGCTAACTCAGCCAATAAATCCTGCTTGCGCTTCTCTGACTGAAGTACGTATAAATATTAGTCAAAATAGAACTAACATAAATCAACATTGCACTTGAAAGGTCAACGAGACCTTTCCACATATCATTATCAAATAGGCATCTCAAAGTGGAAAAAGGTAAAGGACCTAACCCAATATGCCATATACCGATTGCTAGAGGAAGACAAGTGTCATTCCACATGACAGAGAAGTAATTAGTGTGCCACAGAGTCCAAGTATCATCATGTTCAAAGAGGAATTCTATATTCTGTGTTTATAAAATGACTGACAGAAAATGGTTTCTTTTTTTTAAAGGATATATAGAGAAAGAAGAAGAATGACCAATTGAGGATACATTTATCCTAGCCAATGAACAAAACAGAATCAAGACCATGAGACCCCTGGGGAATCAACATAACAGTTTATAGGTATTCTTTATCTCAAAAATTATTAAAGACATGTTTGAATTTTAATTTGTCTTACAATTTCAAGGAAAACAGGCTTATATGAACCATCTAAAGACACTTAGTTCATAAAGACACAAAAAGAATTTGAATGAGTTCCAAAAATGACAGTTTAAGAAAACCGTTCACAAAGGCTGCACCATCACTAGCACCCACAAAAATAAGTTTAACATGCCTGCTCCAGTTTGGTTGTGTAATTTCTTCTGATCTCAGAAATAGCTTCCAGAACTTCTGAACCCTTCGGTCGGATACTATCATCACTGATGATGGCTGAGGCTTCATTGTTCAACATGACCTATACAAAATATGAGATAATTGTATTGTCAAGAATTTGTCTGAGTCCATGTTGATGCAGGAAAGATGATAAGGACAAGATAAGACAAAAGGTGCAGTGAAACAACCAATAAGACTACAGGAATGAAACAGAAAACTAAATATGGCTTATCAAAATTAAGACATGAGATCAAAACTGACAAATGAGCTCGACGGAGGAGCAAACATGCCTTTTGAAGCTCTGTCCTGATCTCTTCAACTGCATGTCTGACTTCTTTACGCACAACTTCATATAATCCAATACCCTCGTCATCCCCTATGGGATTTTCTCCCTGAAAATGCAACAAGAACCACAAAGGCTTGCAGTTTATTCAAACAGAATAGCATTACTATGACATTACGATTCTCAGATTGTTTCAGATGGTGGACATGACTATAAGACACCTTTTCCTGGGCATAAACCGCCTGGATTGTCTTCTCAACCCCATGCTTCCTTGAATGAAAATCCCCAGCTTCAACATCAGTTAATGAAGAAGAATGGCTCTGTTAGAAAAAAAAAGAATATATTAATGTCTGATCAGTTGTCAAAGACAATATACAAAAACAAGGTTGAACTGTACTGTTTGATGGTCAACAGAGTGCAGAATGGCATGAATACAAGAATGTCTATGCTAAAGATCCATTTCTTCTTCTAACAACCTGTTTCCCATTCTTACTTATGCTCACATCGACACCGTCTAAATATTAGTTCATGATCATGTAAAATATAAGAGAATTTACCGAGTAGCTATCTTGTGAGTGGAAGAAATCCTTGTGACTCATTGTCCTTTTTAAAACATCAACATTATTCACAGGCCTATGTGATGAAGGCTGCTGCAATATACCATTGTCCGAAATCCTTGATATGACTTGAGTGCTGGAACTGAGAGAATCCATGTCATTCTGTAGTCAAGAAGAAGAAAACTAATAGTAAGTCCTCTTTTGACATTAGATCTAACTAAACAACTTTAAATCCTAACTTTTGAAGCTTCAAATACTTGATGCAAAAGCGATAACATATATTATATAACTGACGAGTTCATGCAGGTTCATACATTGGAGAATGAGGGCTGATGAGGGTTACATGCAAAAAATGGTACAAGCTAAAGGATATCATTCTACTTTACCAACCAACGCCCACATAGAACAATAGTCAAGGTATCTTCAATGGAATTAGCTGAATGTTTGACACCAATATGATAGATGTTTAAACTAAACCATTCTTTTAATTCTTTTCTGAAAAGTAAGTAGCAAGTTGCTGCAGAAATTTGTTCGATGATGGTTGGCTCTTAGCAAATGTTTAACCAGAAAACCATGTCAAAAAATGCTGACGAATAAAAAGAAAAACATAAGCAGCAAAATCAGAAAAAGATTAACATAATGCCACAACTGCAAAACCCTTGACTTAAAAAAATTATATAACACATTAATAAAGAAGATACTATCGAGGTTGTGGCTTTGAGAAGGCTAAGATGTACAGAAACCACAAGTCACAGCAATGATATAGCATGTTGTATAACCTTTATCTACCCTTATAAACATGGAAACACTACCATCAGAGTAAACTTTGAGTATGTTTACTGCATCAGATGCTATCAGAAGTACATCAAGCTTTGATTGGACAACAAGAAGCACCTGTTGATCCAGTTGCATAGGATTTTGAATATTCCACCAGCAATATTTGCCAAATTCTGATCGCCAACCACCAGCCAGCTTACTGCCTTAAAAAGAGACATATTCAATTTGGACATGTACATATCCATTTTGCATATGATACTCTTTTCTTTGGATAAAAACAAAAGACCTGAATTTTGGCAGCCACTTTGAAGGTCATAAATGCTCTTAGCCACTTATTTCTCCTAGCAGTAGAACCATATAAACAATCTTCTACTTTGTTAACCACCATGTAAGAGCGATTCATTAAATTAGTAAAGATATTAGAAAACAAAAAGGAACCCCAAGGCATGATGATCACGCCAATTATGGAGCCTAGAGAGGATTTATGTACATAGCCTTCCATCTAATTTGATTTCATGACTCAAATTCTAGTTACCCAAAAAAGACATTCTTTTCCCTAGTGTTGTTTAACACAAAATCCAAGTAGCAAAAACTCATTCCATCGACTAAGAAACTAAGAATAGAGATGTCGAACTGTGAACGAATAAAAAATGCATTCGAGGGCTAATCCAATATGCTATCGAGTCAAGCAGTCATGACAAATCAATCTCTGATCAATAAAGATTATTCCAAGCTGAATACATATGTGATGTTTCCATACCAAGGAAAAGGACTTTAAAAGGAGAATCCAGGATGATCGATTTGTCCAGAACTTGGCATCGATCCAATCATGATGGATGTTTACGCACACGAGTCAGTCAACTATCTGGTGAAGAAGCATTTCCTCCTTCCATGGTCATTCTATACCGGAGACTCGTCGGACTACTCACATGATCATATTTTTCCCAGCAAATTGTTTCTCTTTCCGTGGACTACGTAGTCGTTTAGTAATCCGATCACAAGGGCAACAGAGCGAACGAAAGATCATACGGTGGTCATCGGACGCCAAAGATTGCAAATTTAGACAATCTAGATGATCGCGGGGAGAGACAGGTACCTCGGAGTCGCTACACCGATGGCGAGCAACGGAGACAGATCGCCGCCGCCTTAACACACTATTCGAGACGCCCTTCGGCGGTCCAGTTCGGCACTGGGGGGGCCTCGTCACGGACCTTCCGCGCCGACCAGACGACTCCGTCTTTATCGGGTAGCTCGTGACGGAATTGCGGCACCTGGACCGTGCATCGGAGGGCTCGCTCTCCTCCTCCTCCGACTCGGCCCTCGCCCGGAAGAACTCATCGACGACGTCATCGAGGCTGATCTCCGGGAATACGCACCCGCGCGCCTCGTTGACGAACCTGCCGGGGGGCGTCGGAAAATCTTCCGCATCCGGCTGAGACGGGGGGAACCGGCCGGAGAAGCGGCTGAGGCTCCTCGACCGTCGGGGTGGCCCGCCGCTGCCGGAAGAACCGGTGTCGCGTGCGGAGCGGGCAACGGCGCGCCCGCCAATCGAGGATCGGCCCGTGGCCGATCGGAAAGCGGCCGTCGTCATCCCCGGCGTGAACAGTAACGTCTGAAGGAGGCGAAGAGATTTGGAAACGGGGGGGGGGGAGAGAGACGGCGGCGGAGGGACCAAAGTTTTACGTTTTTTTGAGACATTTACCTAGAAAAGCCACGTTTTATGAACTAATGTCATCGTAATGGGGGTAAATTATATTATATTTATATTATATTATATTATATTATATTATATTATATTATATTATGATAACATTATTCAAAATATGTAATATTGAATCGACAAAATATTCTCTTTCGGCGTCGTTGGATCAACAAAATAACAACATTCCTCCATTCTCGTCATCTACAAAACACATGAGAGTAGATATTAAAATAGCACATGGAGCCTTGGTGTTATTATGTTTGCCCTCCTCAGTCAGTCCCACCTAAGACGCTGGTGGTAGGCGGAAGGACGGAAGGTTTCTCCTCCACTGTTTGCTTTGCTGAGTATAGGCGCCTCATTCGAAGTTCAAACCCGTGGAGTGGAGGGATTTATGTGTGACAGTGAACGGACGTCCGGCGGGGAATTAAATATTTATCGGTGTGTGACGAGCTACCGTCTTCTTCATATAGCTGAAATTGAACATGAACATTTTAGAGGGGATGAGATGGGAAAGGCTTCGGTTGGAAAGCAAATTACGCACGAGCACAGAGCATAACGTATGTATGCTGGTACACTGGCATTCACACTGGCTAATAAAAATATTTTATTTGACTATTACTAATAATAATAATAATAATACAATTGTACCTTGTGGATTACATCGTGGAATTCCATAAGTTACAGTTAATGCTTCGACATTAATTGTTAATGTCCATGTCGACGGCTCATGCTTTCATGTGAGAAGTTGGTGGTGTATGAATTATAGGAGAGAATCCGACGGGAATTCACTCACAATTCGAAGACGACGGCCAGTTCGAACCGTGGGGATGGGGTGCAAGCAGCGAGCTCGTGAGAGCAGCGGACGGTATATGCTCGTGGGGAGTCATCGGAGAAGAGGTCAAAGCAGCAATAGAGTGGAGGAGAAGTCTCACTTACACGGGGCAGGCAGGGTATTCCATGAATCGGTCATATATACTTCAGAAGTCACACACGTATGAATACATGATATAAGCAACAACATGGATCGGTAATACGTATGCTCCGGAAGTCACATGTATGAATACATGATATAAGCAGTAACAAAAGGTGGAGGAGAAGTTACATGTACACAAGGCAAGCAGAGTAATTCATGGATCGATCATACATACACTTCAGAAGTCATACACATATGAATGCATGGTATAAGCTACAAGAGGTGAAGGAAAAATCACACGTACACGAGGCAAATTGAGTAATCCATGGATTGGTCAAGCGTACGCTCCGGAAGTCACACGTATGAATACATGAGAGAAATCACATGTACATGAGATAGGCAGGGTAATCCATGGATCGGTCATACGTATGCTCCGGAAGTCACACGTATGAATACATGGTATAAGCAATAATAATAGGTGGAGGAGAAGTTACACGTACACGAGGCAGGCAGGGTAATTCATGGATCGATCATACATATGCTTTGGAAGTCACACACGTATGAATACATGGTATAAGCAACAACAAGTGGAGGAGAAATCGCGTGGTATAAGCAGCAACAGGTGGAGGAGAAATCACACGTACACGAGGCAAACAGAGTAATCCATGGATCGATCATACGTACGCTCCAGAAGTCACACGTATGAATACATGGGAGAAATCACACGTACACGAGGTAGGCAAGGTAATCCATGGATTGGTCATACATATACTTCTAAAGTCATACGTATGAATACATGGTATAAACAGCAATAGAAGATGAAGAAAAAGTTACACGTATACGAGACAGGTAGGATAATCTATAGATCGATTATACATATACACCGAAAGTCATACACATATGAATACTGATATAAACAGTAACAAGTGGAGGAGAAGCCACACGTATAGAAGATAGACAGGATAATCGATGGATCGGTCATACGTACACTCCGAAAGTCAGACGTATGAATACACGATATCATTAGCATGCCGAGTATTTTGGACGTAGTTTTCCTGGGCGGTGGCGGGGGCCCCGCACGGAATCAAACCAAAACAAGAATGGGCCCTTTCTCGTGAGCCGCGCCAACAGCCAGCGGCCTAAGCTCCCACGTGATCCTATCGCCCCACCCATACGCCTACGGCTTTCCCGCCGGCCACGTGGCATATCGCCTTCCCCGTCCCCCGGTAGGATCCCACGCCGCTGCCTTAACGGACGGACGCTTCGGTGGACACGCGTACGGTTTGCTCCATTTGTTGGGATTGGACGTTAACCAAGTCATCATATTAATCGAATTGATTAATACTCAACCAGTGCACGAGCTTTCGATCGAGAAGCGTCGCCTCACAACTTGTGCTTCTATTTACTCCACTCGCTCGCTCTTTATAGCGCAGACGAGAAAAGCTCCGTCGCTCGTTTACGAAACCCGGCGGTGCGATGGCGGCGATGGGAATCGCAAAATTACCGCCGCTCAACAATTCCGTTCATCCTGCCCATCGGAAATCTCCGACGCCCTTCCTTGCATCTTCCGATCCCCGCCTTTCCTCTTCCTTCCACGTCTCCGGTGGAAACGATAATATCCTCCTCCTCCGTAAGGCGGCGATTGCGTCAGGGCGGAGGACGGCGTCCGGTGCGAGGACCCCGGTCCTGGTCTCCCCCAAAGCCGTTTCCGACTCGCGGAGCTCGCAGACTTGCCTCGATCCTGATGCAAGCCGGGTGAGTTTGCGTGGGACGCACATTTGCCTCACATGCCCACAAGGTTTCTTTAGAAAGATTTTGTCATCGGAAGCGATCTTGGAATGGTTCTCGGTGAATTGCTTGATGTGGTTGATTGCTTGATGTGGTTGATTGCTTGTTTCTGTGGCAAAATTAAGCTACCAAAAAAATTTTTTTTTTTTCTTCTCTTCTCTTTGTCCGCCGCTAGGTTCGTAGAAGAGTTGTCGGGTCTACATACTTGGGTTACATCAAGGTCGATGATTGTTCTCGAATGTTGTTATCAACCATTTCGTAGATCCACATTATATCCTTTCTTGTCTTTTAAGACGACCCTTTTTTAGCTTTTTTTTTTCTCTTTCTTCCCAAATATTGACTGGATCGAGCTTTTAGATTTTTAATCGAGTTAGAAAATAAAAAGGAGAAACGATCGGTGATTTGGTGAAGATTTGTTCATCATTTAGAAACGAAAAGGACGCAATTACCTGAAGTACATGTTCATAAGAAATTTATCAGGTTTCTGCCTAGGAAAGCAAATCGGCCAAGGCACGAATCGATTCCATCGGTTAAAAGTTCTACAACTTATGGAAACCCAATTTATGATTCTCTCAGATCTTATGTACCTTCTTCAAGATATGCAGGAGATATTGACTACTAGCATAAGACGATTGGAGGGTTGCCTATTTTCTACAAGTTGCTAATCGAACACATTGCAAATAGGATCGATCATATATTTCACAAGCCAAAAGCGAATTCTATGTTTCAGAAGAAACTTACCTGCGATAGTGTATTTGACTATTATTTATGTTGGTTTTCTTGAAATATTTGGAAGTACATGCAGATTATTCTCATCTTTAAAAATGTAGCTTCAAACTTAGCCTGGAGCACAGGTGGTTGATGGTTTTATTTATATGATTCAACATGATCACCTCATGCACATCTTTGTGGATGGTTATTTTCTAGAATTTGTTTGTTTTTTTGTGTGTTTTCTTAATTGTCATGTGAATATTTAAGATAATTAAGTTTTGAAATGGTGAATTTTTGTTTTCTCTCCGCAGAGTGTTTTGGGTATTATACTTGGGGGAGGAGCCGGGACGAGGTTGTATCCTTTAACAAAGAAGAGGGCTAAACCTGCAGTACCACTTGGAGCCAACTACAGGCTAATCGACATTCCTGTCAGCAATTGCTTGAACAGTAATATTTTAAAGATCTACGTTCTGACACAATTCAATTCTGCGTCTCTGAACCGCCATCTTTCACGGGCCTATGCGAGTAACATGGGTGGGTACCAGAATGAAGGCTTTGTTGAAGTTCTTGCTGCACAACAGAGTCCAGAGAACCCAAACTGGTTTCAGGTGCTATGACATCTTGGTCTTTTCATCTCAGTTTGAATTTACTTGAAATAAAGGCTTGGTTCTCTATTCGCCATCTAATTGTTCCTCCTTGCTCTTAAATAAGGTTTGATATATCAGATCCTGTGAGGAGTCTCGTTTTTTGAACTTTTTTATCCTTTTAGTAGTTCCAACTAGACAAAGACTCCTGCCTTAAATGTCAGGAGTTCAAACTAAGAGTTTTATTCGCTGGCTAAATGCATGCTGTTTACCATGTGTTCCTAGGGTACTGCTGATGCTGTAAGGCAATACCTGTGGCTCTTTGAGGAGCACAATGTCATGGAGTATCTAATTCTTGCCGGAGACCATTTGTATCGCATGGACTACGAGAAGTTCATTCAAGCGCACAGAGAAACAAACGCTGATATTACTGTGGCTGCGCTTCCAATGGATGAAAAACGTGCAACTGCTTTTGGTCTGATGAAAATTGATGAAGAAGGACGGATAATTGAATTTGCAGAAAAGCCAAAAGGAGATCAGCTGAAGGCGATGAAGGTAGAGACTCTTTCAGTAGTGTTTTCTTGGATTTGTGAGACCATTCATCGTTGTGCAGTTCACAAAGTTTATTACTTGTCCTTATAAAATTATTGATCGGTGAGCGGCAGGTCTTTAGTCCTAATAAGTCTGTTTTGCTTTTTATTTTTACAGGTTGATACCACAATTTTAGGCCTGGACAATGAAAGAGCAAAAGAGATGCCTTTCATTGCTAGTATGGGTATCTATGTGATCAGCAAGGATATAATGTTGCAGTTGCTTCGTGATAAATTTGCTGGAGCAAATGACTTTGGGAGTGAAGTTATCCCTGGTGCAACTAATGTTGGGATGAGGGTATGTCTGATATATTGATCTACAGATGATACATTTATTTAATTTTCCTAATGTTTATTTCTTTGAGATGCTTGGAAGTGAGTAACCCCACATAACAGCAAAAAGGCATTGCAAAATCACCCTTACCAAGATGAGGACTTGCCAAAAACTTATACAACTTCCATGGCACATTATATGCTCTATATCTGTTCATTCGATACATTTTTCATGAAATAAATCCAATTGACTCATTAACTTAATAGGACCAAATCTGAAACCAGAAAACCCAAAATGGATTGAGTCCAAACTAATGATAGTAAGTCCATATGGCCATTTATGACATCATAATAGTTTTCTCCCTGAAAACCCAAAATAGTGGTTAGTGGATCCATCTAGTCTTATAAATCGCCAAAATCATTTTACTTCCAGTGTGAAACCACTTGGGGTGTCACAGTACTAGGCTGAGTTGGGTCATCTGTGTGTGTTAGGACCACCATTATTTTAGTATTCCTATATCATTCTCTAAAAAATTATTGAAACCTGCAAACTATTAAAGATTACATGCTTTTAAAAGTACAAGTTATTCCACATGGTTTATGTATGACTCGAATAACCTTGCTTTAGCTGGAAGGCATGTTTTTCATACCATGCTGTCGTTTGACTTGTGCCTTTGCTGCCATGTCAGAGCCAGTCAATGCTCCAACTATTTCATGTGTATGATGCTGTCTTGTCCTTGTGGCCAGTTGGCAACACTCACAAGGTGCACTCTAGCCAACATGGGATCATATGGCATGGGCAATCAATTTTGCAACCAAAATAGCTCCTCTACATTTAAATTTCTCAAACATACAGTACTCAGATGCTAGATCTTTATGATTCTCAGTTATTTTCAGAATATCAGTGACCAATCTTAATTGTTTTATTTTGAACAACAGGTACAAGCTTATTTATATGATGGTTACTGGGAGGACATTGGTACAATTGAGGCATTTTACAATGCAAATCTTGGAATTACTAAAAAGCCAGTACCAGATTTCAGGTAGATTACTCAGAAGACAAATAAGATAATGTGCTTTTCCATGTTCACAGGCATGTCATGCTTTAGTAACTGATTGAATCTTAACTTGATTTCAGCTTTTATGATCGTACATCTCCAATTTATACACAACCCCGATATTTACCTCCTTCCAAGATGCTGGATGCTGATGTAACTGATAGCGTGATTGGCGAGGGATGTGTGATCAAGGTGAGTTCACTGCATATCAATCTTTTTCTTCTTTTTTTTTTGTCTGAGATTTGTTTTACAACTAGTCGTTAATATAAGTGAAATATGCCCTATAATTTAATTACCATATGTGAATTAAACAATATGTAACATAACTTTGTAACATAGTTTCTGGGAGCTTAGTTTTATGTTGTCTCGTATCAATGACTAGGTAATATCAGAAATTTATCTGCTACAAGATCTCAATCTATCTGGTTCTTGTGAATTCATTACTGTCTGCTGCTTTATAACAATTTGTAAGTGACGTTTGTTATTCATACAGAAACAATGTAATGCATGCCTATTTACATGTTCGACATGAATGTAATGTCTAAATGCGAGTATTAAGTGTTTCTTTCTTTTTTCTTTTTTTATTTCCTGGGTGGACTTGGGACCCATAGAAGCACAGTTATCTCGCATTCTTTTTTGTAGAAGCAAAAAATGCTTGGAAACCTAATTGCAGGCGAACTGGCTATGTGGTGTTGGTAAAGTAATAAAGAGATTACAATTTATACCGTAAGATGTGCAACAGTATAGCATACTGATGATTGCTGTGTATTACGTATCTTTTCTTCCATGTGCCTTGCGTGATTTTCTTTGTGCGACACTGAATGCTTAAATTCCAGCACATGGTTGACATTTATATGATGATCTTGTGTGTGTGTACGTGTGTGCGTGCATGCTCATGCACAAGCACACTTGTATTTCTCATATGTGCTTTTTTACTCCATAGCTCTGCCTCCATACATGTCTACTAAAAAGTTAGGTCCTGGGATTATCCTGTTTCATTTCATTTTGGAAGTGCCAGATGGCTAAACTCTCAAAATTTTAAAAAGACTACTTTCATGTCCCTGCAGAACTGCAAGATCCACCATTCTGTAATTGGTCTTCGTTCTTGTATATCAGAAGGTGCAGTCCTCGAAGACACTCTACTGATGGGAGCAGATTATTATGAGGTAATGCCATAGAAAGAAAAAAAAAAAAAACCCACCCGAACTAGTTAATCCAGAAGTAGTATATGATACTTGTTCGTTTGAATAGATAATTTAGTCTTTGACTCTGTGCCGCAAACCATGCTTGTAGACTGATGCTGATAGGAGGCTGTTAGCTGCAAAAGGCAGTGTTCCCATGGGCATCGGAAGAAATTCTCACGTCAAAAGAGCCATCATCGACAAGAATGCTCGCATTGGAGAGAATGTCAAGGTAATAGTAACCCAGATTATGCAATGAAACTGAGATCTTTCCTGTTGCTACATTAATGTTTCTTAATTATCAATTTTCTAGGTGTCAGAAAAATAGACAAATCATAAAATAGCAAATATGTCCAGAAAGTACTCTAACCCAAGTGGGTAGCAATTTTTTTTTTTTTCTTTGGCCTCTAAATAATGGTTCACTGGTTTCCCAGATCATCAACTGTGATAACGTGCAAGAGGCGGCAAGAGAGACGGACGGATACTTCATCAAGAGTGGCATCGTCACCGTCATCAAAGATGCACTGATCCCTAGTGGAACTGTCATCTAGTTCTCAACGTAAAACTGCTACGCCTGTGGTCTGCTGTCTCGGGCTTTGTTCATGTTCCGTTGCTACGTATATTTCTCGTTCACGGAAAACCTTTTCTGTGGCATTTGTCGGACAAGACGTTTCTTTTCGATATATTACTTTGATGATGTTTGTGGGAGCACATTAATAGCAAATCGTACGAGTTTGAGTTCAGATTTAGCTCGAATTGAATCGAACGTTTTAAGATGAATACTGTAAGCGGTGGATTGGGATACAGGTGGAAGGACAGTAGTGACGCGAAGCCATGTAAGAGTGGCGCGCGCTAATGGCCGACGCCAGGCGACGGGTTTTTGGCAGGAGAGGGAGGCCCGGGATATCCACCGTGCCGGAGCAATCTGGCTCCACCACGTCCTCGGAGTAGCGTCATCTCATGCCCTTCGAGCGATTGCGCATGAGCATCATCACCTGCACGCAAGAATATGAACGATAATCTTTGAAAGAGGTTGTCGCCAGCCAAGGAAAGCAGTACAGATGCAGCTCCTTTGCCGATCTAAATAGATCCTAATGATCGATCGTTATTTGTTTACAACGATAGAAACAGTTACGATGGTAAAAGATCAACAACAATCTTACGGGAATAGGAAGAGAGTTCGTATATACCATGGGCTGCACCAGTGAGGAGGTGGGCGACTCTTGAATCAGCTCCAGGGGAAAAGGAGACGAGTAGTACAAGCAACACAGCCATGCAAAGGCGTCTCTTCTGATCCATTATCTACTACACTTGATGCACTCTGTTTCTTTCTCGTTGCGGGTTCAATGTTGAGTCCGGAGGACTCTCTCTCTCTCTCTCTCTCTCTCTATGCGGAACAGGTGAAAGAGAATTACATCTTTGTGCTGGAAGATTTGTTTTGGTCAAGTACGTTGTTGAGGTCAATTGATTTGAACATAGACTGGCGACTCTGTCTCCCTTGGATGAGAGACACAATAATAGGTTGTGTATTTTCAGGCCTTTGCAATAGCTTGTTTATCAAGTCTAGTAGAAAACGAAGCTTGACAGCTTCGTTGAGAGACCGGCGTTGGCTCTACGAGCTGGGAGAGCAGACCGACAGAGGTGAGTTGGGACGACCTTGTTGGGCTGGCAGTCCACAAATTCAGTCCATAGTGGGCTTGGGCAGTCCACAGCCCACACCCCCTCTTAACATAACCCTAATTAACATTAGGGGGTGTGATGACAATTCCTAATGCACCTCAACATAAAGCTATTGTAAATAGGATGAACTGCACCATCGTTAAAAAAATCAGATGTATGCTTTCATAGGCTAAGTTACCAAAAAAGTTTTAGGATAAGACTTTGAGGATTACAATTGATGTGATCAACTTGTCACCATATAGAGCCCTAGATAATGATGTTGCAAAGCATATATATGGTCAGGGAAAAATATTTCCTACAGATATTTGAGAGTGTTTGGTTATCATGCATTTGCACATATTCTAGACAATGAGAGGTCCAAGCTGGATGGTAAGACAAAAGAATGTATTTTTATTAGCTACTTACATAATCAGTTTGGTTACAGGCTTTGGAATCCAAAGAAGCAAAAGGTATTTAGAAGCAGAGATATGATTTTTTTTTAGGATTAAACATTTAAAGATTTGAATAAGAAAGTATCAGCCAAGACTTCTATAGAAGGATTAGCAGATTGTGACCTAGTTACTTCTCCAGTATATCAGGGTGATTGGGAGATGTGTAGGAAGATTGTGTAGAGCCCGATGTTAATCTACTTGTAGGATATGTTGAGCAAAAAGAAGTTGGAGAGCAACTTCCTATAAAATCTCAATTGAGAAGATCTTCTATACAACATCAACATTCTAAAAGATACTCTACAAATGAGTATGTGATGTTTATTGATGCAGGTGAAATAGAGAGTTACTAGGAAGTAATTGAAAGTGAGTAAAAAAAAAATTATTAATTGCTATACAGAAAGAGATGGATGCTCTACAGAAGAACCATACATATGATTTAGTGCAACTACTAAAGAGAATTAAGACCTTAAAGAATAAGTGAGTTTTTAGGTTGAAAACTCAAGAATATTGTTCTCAACCAAAGTACAAAACTATATTGATTATGAAAGACTTTGGTCAAAAGAAAGGTATTAACTTTGAAGAGATTTTTTCTCCTTTTGTTAAAATGTCTTCTATTCGTGTTGCTCTCGGTACTACTGCTAGCTAGGACTTAGAGGTTAAGCAGTTAGATGTGAATACAGCTTTTCTTCATGGTGATTTCGTGGAGGAAATTTTTATAAAGCAACCAGAAGACTTCAAAGTCAAAGGTAAAGAGAACTTTGTTTGTAAGTTGAAGAAGAGCTGGCCTAAAGTAAACTCCAAGTCAATGGTACTAAAAGTTTGATTCATTTATGACAGAAAATGAATACAAAAGAATGACTTTAGATCATTATGTGTACATCAAATGGTTTGGTGAGAATTTTATTGTTCTCTTACTTTATGTTGATGACATGCTCATCGTTGGAAAAGATATGTCTATAATTGCTAGATTGAAGAAATAACTGAGTGAGTCTTTTGCAATGAAGGACATGAAGCCAACAAAGCAAATACTAGACATGCAGATTTCCCATGACAGAAAAACCAAGTAGATTTGGTTGTCACAGGATAAATACATCGAGAAGATATTGGAAAGGTTTAGTATGAGCAATGCAAAGCCAATTAGTTCTCATCTAGTATGTCTCTTCAAGTTGTGCTCAGAACAGAGTCCGTCGATTGATGGAGAGAATGAGAAAATGCAAAAGGTTCCTTATACTTTAGTATTTAAAAGTTTAATGTATTTAATAGTATGTACGAGACCAAACATCGCGCAGTGGGTGTTACTAGTAGATTTCTTACAAATCTAAGTAAAGAGTACTAGACAACAGTGAAGTGGATCTTTAGATACCTCAGAGGGAGCTCTAAGGTTTGTTTAAACTTTGGAGTTATACTACCTTTATTAACAGGTTACACAGATACAAATATGACATGAGATATAGATATAAGAAAATCTAAATCAAGTTTTACACTTATTTTTGCATGGGGAGCTATATTATATGGTGAATTATGACAGCTAGAGTGCCATACATTTGTATAAGAACCCAACTTTTCATTTAAAGTCAAAGCATATAGATGTCAGATACCACTGGATTCGAAATGTCCTTGAAGAAAAGCAGTTGCAGCTTCAGAAAATTCAAATAGATGACGATGGAGCAGACATGTTGACAAAGACCTTACCAAATGAAGGGTGGGAGATATGTCGACAACTGGTCGACATGGCTTCACATTGAGGTGTCATCGGACAGCCTCCTTTATGGGCTAAAGGGGGAGGTTGTTGGGTTGACAGCCCACAAGTTCAGCCCATAGCCCACCTCTCATTTAATCTAATCTTAGATCTAATAAGGGGGGTGAGGTGACTACGAAAAAAGGGAGAAAAGCTATAGTAACGAGACAGAAAACTATAACAGCAACTTGATTTAAAAAAAAGAAAAAAAAGAAAGAAAAATAAGAGAAGGTAAGAGAAGAAGAGAAGGATAATGTAGAGAGATTGTTCTCAATTATCCAAGCAGTGTTCTCATCTCAGATTAGATCAGATTTATAGTAGATTCTAGTTGTGATTATTTGTGAAGAATTTGGATATTGTGTATAGTGACGTAATCCATGTATTCCGGTTATTCTTTTGAAATTGTTGTTTGGGTTTTGGGTAAAAGATTATGAGATTTGTATATTTATTATTTTTATAGTGGATTATCTCTAGTTTGTTCCATCGTTTTTCTCCTCACTTTAGAGGGATTTTTCACGTAAACCTTTATATTATATTTGATTATAATTTTTATTTAATTTCGTTGTGTGTTATGATATGTTTATATTTATTCTTATATAAATTTTCTTCTACTTTTTATTAATTACATGAACGAGTACCCAAAAACTTCAAAGTCCACGAAAAGTACCATTTTTATACCGAATCAATGTGACTTTCGAGGGTTGGACGAGTCTCTACCACACACACGGACACCTAATGGGTGCCCACTCCGAGGAGTTCAGCGACAGACAATGACAAGTTCGCATCATGTGATGCAGAAGACGCACAGCTCGTTTTCCATTTCAAACTCCTTCTCATCGATCAACAACGCTACACAAGTTGACTCCACCAAATACCTTTGTCGCCATTACGGACAGTACATCTAGAAGTGTTTTAGTGAAAAGTTATGGAATGAAACTTTTCTGTATAGAGCAACCTCTGAAATCATTTCGAAACTCTTGGATTACTCGACTTGTAAGTTTCTGTATGGTTCATCAAAGTATTAAACTGTTTGTGTTCATTCAAACACACGACATATCCAAGTCTTCAATTTTATTCGTGAATGCTCACAACCGAAAGTGAATTATTCTTGTTCAGCATAAACTACGTTTGCAGTGCATGGTACAGGTTATAGATTCCAGAGCAAAAGCCAACGGGATGTATCAGCTGTGGATAAGGTCGTCTCTATCAGATCGAGAGTCAAACTCATGTAATCAAATGAATCTTTGGGGGAGGGGGGATTTACTTGAGAAGAAAAAACTGGCATATGCTTCCTCAGAAAAGGGACGGAAACTAAATTCTTTTGCTCAGCGCAACCACAAAGCAGCAAGCAAACATATCAACGAATTCACAATGGATAGGGATACAGCAGCAATACAACCTCACCTGAAACCAGCCATGCATGCTGTGTCTGCATGGCTCCCCAGATGCCAACTAGGAAGTATGCCAACTGCATCGACAAAGCTTCTTAGATGGCATTCAGGGAGCCAGGCAGAACATGCATCAGAGCGAGCAGGAGACGATGGTCGTGACCTACAAGAACCCCAAGACCACATGCATCAGTAATCAGCTTTCGTATCAACCAAAAGCCTTAAAAGCTGCAATAGAAAGGAACTCACGCGTACGCTTTCTTCTCTCGTCAGCTGCGGAAGCCATAAATGTCTCCTTTCTCTCTCTCTCAACTCATCTCCCATGTCACATGCATTGCATGTCTAGTGCACTTGGTAAATGACTCAACTCCACAGCTAGCAGAGACGGGGAGGCAGCATATACACGAAGCAGAGCATGAAGGACAAAGGAAAGGCCAAAAGAACCATGTGGAGGTTGGGGGAGGGCCATTCCTTCCTTCTCTTAAAATGGGCGCCGGTCGTGACTTCTTCTGCAGTATGAGTCCACAGGAAGAGCCAAGGGCAGCCTGGGTCTTGCACCACGGCACCTTTGGCTTCGTCTTCTTCATCTCTCCTCGTAAATGGTGAACGATGTCATGATACATACCACATACAATATGTTATGCGATACTGCAAGCTCGATCAAGCCCCAGTCGGCACTAAAAGCAAGTAACCAGGTGATCAGTCTTCTTTTTCTCCTTTGGTCCTACCTAAACATCCCAACTTCTTACGGTGTATCAATGTGCGTGCATCATCCATCGTTTCTGCATCTGTCGATGAGCATGACTTTGTTTAGAACAATATAGTCGTCGAACTTAGCTAATCTATGATATCCAATGTCTGTTGCACCTTCATTCCGTCTGCTTGGGTCACATGAACAACTCTGCACAAGGTCGGAGAAGAGCCCGCACCGTTCACACCGCAAGTCAAACCTTTGACCGCAAGTCAAACTGGCCGACGTTTCCCTTGACCGGTAGCTAGCGGCAAGATAATGGGATTTGACCGTGAACAGGCCACGGTGGCCACACCATCCGCGGGGCCCGCCTCCTGATCGTTTAATTTATATACGACGATGCGATGATGTGTCGAAGTGTCGAGCAACAATTCCCGCGGCAAAAAATAATATATCTTGTTTCGATAAATAAAAATATTATTTAAAAAAGGTGTTCATAAACCTTTTATTATCTTTGATTAATATCACCGAGGCCTTCTAACCCGATAAGCATACTTCCTTCGTGTCGCCTTGTTTACGAGGCTTGATGATTGGATAACTGACATGGGGCCCATCAAAATCGAACCAGTTCGAGCGGCGATGCCACAGAACACCCTAACCCCCTGAATTCTTACCCAAAACCCTAATCGCGTCGCCGTCCATCCGAAGCGCCCTACCATCTCCCATCGGATCAGCTCCCGCTGAGGATGAGGAATGCGTGGAGGAATCTCTCGCTGCGAAGCCTCCCTTGGATCGCTTCCCGCGGCCCCAGCGTTAGCCCTCCCAACCTCCTGGTGAAGGTTCCGGAACCCAAAAACCCTTCCTTTCTCCTCCCGTTTGTCGGCAGGATTCGCTCTCCGTCGTACCTTGGAATCCGCTGGTTCTCGCCGGATCCGGCCGGTTCGGATGAGATCAAAGCAGAGTTGGAGTCCCTCGACCTCTCGTTCGACCGGGAGACCATGGATTTGGTGCTTCGGGATCTCAAGTGCGTGCATTCCGCTTCGGAGGATGGACGCGTCAAGCTGAATTCAGAATCCTACAATCGAATGCTTCAAACCCTTGGAAACAATGGGCGGTCAGAGGAATTCTGGCGTGTTGTTGGGACCATGAGAAAGAAAGGCTTTGGGATCTCTAAAGCCACCTACTTGTCCGTCTCAAAGAGTTTTCGCGAGGAGAAAATGGAGAAAGATGTCAATTTGTTGAATGAAGCCTACTCTCTGAGCACTGGTAGAAACGAGGCTGAAACGGCGTGTCAGGAAATTTGCAAGATCTTGAGGGAAGAGGAACCAGGTGAAATCCTTCAAAAGAAGCTGGATGATATCGATGACAGCTTGTTATCCGAGTTGGTCGGTGTGGTCTTGGAGTTGACTACCGAGCACCCTGAGAAAGCTTTGCTGTTGATGGAGCAGGTAGAAAAGAGGTCGTCCTTGAAGATTGATGGCGGTGTTTATAATGCTATGGCCAGGATTTTGGGTCGAAAAGATTGCATCAATGAGTTTCAGGATCTCCTTCGGAAGATGAGAGATCAGGGTCATGAATTGGAGTTGAAAACATATATCAAAGTGTCACACTGGTTTCACCAGCGAAAGATGATTGCAGAAGTGGCAGATTTGTATGAGTTTGCGATGAGTGGTACAGTGAAGCCTCCACCTCAGGATTTCTTGTTCCTCTTGAAGAAGATAGTTTTGAGTAAAGATCTAGATTTGGATTTGATTACCCGGGTTGTCCGCATTTTTGTGGAAGATGGAAATTCCATCAAGAGATCAGTTTTTGGTGGAGTTCTTAAATCCTTGAGGAGCGTTGGTAGATTGGGGGAGTGTGATAAGGTCTTAGCGGCCATGGAACAGGGAGGATTTGCGGCTGATAGTTCTGTACATGATCGGGTAGTCATCGGACTTTGTGATGCTGGGAGGTCGGATGGAGCCTTCAAATACTTGGACAATATTGAAAATGAAGGCTATAGTTTGGATGTGAAGACATGGACATATTTGGTCAAAAAACATTCGGTGGCTGGCGAACTAGAACAAGCATTGTCTTGCTTCAAGGTGATGACAGAAAGAAGGGGTGGTGAAAATGTTGGTTGTGCCTTTGAGGAGCTGATGAAAGGATATTGCCAGAAGGACAAAATAAAAGATGCACACAAGGTTCTAAATGAGATGGTAACTAAAAGAAATGTACAGCCTTGGCACAGCACCTACAAGTTTCTAATTGAAATGTTCATAAATCAAGGGTACCTTAAGGAATCTTTTAGTCTTCTGGAACCGATGAAAAGTCATGGTTTTCCTCCGTATATTGACCCGTATATAAGTTATCTGTCAAAGTTAGGGACCGTGGATGATGCAATGGGTTTTCTGAAGGCTATGACGGTGAAGGAGTTTCCTTCTAGAACGGTGTTCATGCGCGTTTTTGAAACACTACTCAAAGCAGGCAGGCATGACGTGGCGCATGGTATACTTTCTAAATCTCCAGGATCCGTCCGTAATCATGCTGATGTCTTGGATCTGTTCTACTCAATGAAACCAGACGATGCTTCTGCAGTCATTGCTTAGACCATCCATGGAATTCAAAAATTGTTGTGCTTCCTACAACAGCTATCCATCTTTTGATTTATGCAGTAAAACTTACTTGAGGATGATAAATTGGCCACGAATAATGCCAATATTTATAACCAGTTCCTCTGAAGACTTCAATTTCATAGACTCGGTATCAATTTGAGAATTATTGGCTAACCGAAGAATCACCTTCCTGAACTGACACTCAACCTATTATTTTGCAGAAGGGATGATTGCCGACGCTGATATTCAGGCTGCTATCCTCCCAAGTTATGAACTGTTTGTTTTAATTAGCTGATTTTTGAAGTTTGAGCACCCTCTTCTTTCACATATTGGTTAGGTTATAATGGTAAATTGACATCTTATCATATTTAAACTGCATTTGATGGGCCTATGTGCCATGCGTATTTAGTCGATTTTTTATTTTTATTTTTGTATATGCATGTGCACTTGTAGGTAGGATCCAATATTCACACTCAAACTGCATTTTTATTACAATGACCGAAAAATGGCGTAAACACCAGAGCATCGCCTCGGTCCATAAACTAGGTAGGATCCAATATTCAATCCTGTTCTTAGTTCTGATTTTATGTCTGGGTTCATTGATCTCTGGTGATGCCCGAAGCCTCACATAATGGCATCTTAGTTGAATTTGCCCGGTGTCTCCTGCAATGAACTGACCATTTGGTGTCTCCCTTACCTTCCTTTTCTGCAGGGTCTTCTCTGTGTCATCTACGCATGCAGCTTCATCACCTTTTCATTAGTTCCTCCGTAGCACAACTATGAGGGGGCATGCTCGATTTTGTCGATCTAGAATTTTATGAATTTGTTGAGGTTTACTACATATTAGGTCTGAATTCATTTGAAGCTTGCAAAATCTCGACAGCTTGTCTTGTAGGTGCTTCGCATGGATTGTGACTAAGAAATTGATGGTGCCTCAATCCTCATAAGGAATGCAGCCGCAGTCACTGTTGAAGGTAAATGCTTATAGAATTCTTTGTCTCGAGACATTAGAATGCTAGCTTGGATTCATTGAATGGTGAACCCCCGCCCCCGCGCCCCCTCTCTCTCTTCTGCAATGGAAATGAAGAAATGGATTTCGAATGGCTACCTCATAGTTGAAACCTTGTTCATGTAATCATCATGTAACTCCTTGGTTCAAATAAGCTCGTGGAGAAACTCCATGAGGTGAGCTGAGTGGTAAAACATCTTTTCGATGCTTTTAAGTAATTATGAAAGTGGCTATGCAACACAAAAGATCAAGATTCGTCCTTTGTTTCGTTAAGGTTTTCAAGTTTCCGTAAGTTGCCCTAAATCGAGTATTAGTTTTAACCAGTCCAGAGACTTGAAACAATGTAGAATATTAGTGATATATAGATTAGCCCAAGGTAGTCTAGGCTCGAGTGTGACTTGTATGAAGATCGAGGTTGATTGAGATTCTAGATGTGATTCCTCCATGAAGTAATTTTGGTATGGTTGGCTTTGTATAGTTGGCTTAACTAGAGAGGATATTATGAGATATGACTAAAATGTGCTCTTGGCATTCGTCCGATTGGGTTGTTGTCACATGTCGAGCACTAAATAAAGGGATTTGAAAGTGCAATCATGTGCTAGTTTGATATATTGGTGGTCATCAATCTTTGACGATTAGCTTGGGATGGGTGTGTCAAGTATCTTTTGATGCTTAGCCTGAGAACGAAGGAAATAACATTGCTTGAATAGCCTCAATGCTAGATGGTGTGGGAGTCTCGCGATCAGTTGGTCGATCAATGGCTCAACCATCGAGCAATGGAGTAACTTAGCTGATTTGTCTGCTTTGGATGGTGGAGATTGGATCGAAGTTGATGTAGCAAAGTACAATTGAAGTGCCCACTCCATCGCAACGGGGGAAGTTTTGGTCTATTTGCTACTACTAGTTGGTAGAATGCCTATGCCGGGCGGTGGAAGAAACTGAGATGATAAGATGTTGTGGAGGTCCATGGGCATCCGCATCCAGATCGTATTTGATGGGCCGACGACAAGTTGGAGGTCGGATGCCGATCCCTACGCCGCCCAAGAGCCCGATTGTTGCAGCCCCACCACCTTCGAGCACACTTTGCATTCGAAGCGGTGGAGGAGCTTCCGCGGCTGGCGCACACCAAACTCTTGTCACCCAAACTTTATTGTAGGGGATGTCCAGGGACCCACACCGGGCGGTGGGCTCTTGCTCTTGTTGCACTGGATTTAGAGGGCCCACGTCGTGCGTCCGCCTGGCCGACTGGCAGTGGGGCCGATGGACCCACACCGGGCGGTGGGCTCTTGTTGCTTTGTTGGGCCAATCAATCAGCTATAAAAGCTCCTGATCTGCTGCCCGCATAAGGAATGCAGGAGGACACTTGGCTTGGTTGATTTGTCCACCTATTCAAATCTAGTGAATTAGCTCCGAGTTCGGCTGATCTGCTCGCCTTACGTCGAATTCGATCCACCCACATCCGGTAGATTGTGTTAAAAAGACAGACAGACACTTTTGGTCTACGGAGGATGCATTCAACAGAATTTGATCCGAGTGCCGACCAACCCACATCAGGCAAGTTGGGTCCACGTTAAAGATAAGATACTCGAAGGATCCATCAATCGATGAGATGCTTTCGTTTACAAAGGATGCATTATCATGCATTAAAGATGCTTGTGTCCGTGAATGATGCTTCGACCATTGGGATGCTTTTGTCCGCAAAGGATGTACTAGATGCTTCGAATGCTTTTGTCTGTTAAGGATACAACGATCACTTCAAATGCTTTTCCCCGTAAAAGACGTGACACTTATGGATGTTTCAAATGTTTTCGTCCATGAAAGACACTTCAGATGCTTTGTTTGCGAGGAAGGTATCATACGCTTCGGATGCTTTCATCTATGAAAGATGCATCGGATGCGTTTGTCTACGAAAGACGCATCAGACGCTTCAGATGTTTTCGCGCGCGAAGAATATGTTGAATGTTGGGATGCTTTGGCCGTTGCAATCACGCTATCATCGAAAAAAAATACTTCGAGTCATTTCGACCACATTGTTGTCGATGGGAATGCTTCGAAACCATTTTAATTGTGCTCTCATCGAACAACGTGCTTCAATATGGTTCGAGGCAAAATGTCCTTACTAGAGCACTCATTGAGCAAGTTGACAAGATGACATTCTTGTGATATGAGCCTTCTTCGCAAAAAAATGATAAGAAAAATATCGATAACTCTATTTAAGTCTATGTGCACAAGAAATCCGATATGACCAAGGGGAGGGCTTGAACGTTCGCTCGGAGATTGACGTGGACTTAAACGCTCATCTCAAAATCATCTTTCACGAAGAAGAAAATTTTAATTTGAATAAAATTAAATAAGATTCTCGATGTGGGCCCTTCAATGCTTTATCAATAACCGATGAAAACAAAATAACTTTAATAAATAATAATTTTTATAACATAATTAATTTTTTAAATCGATTTACCTAGAAAAAATATATTCTGAGAAAGAATATTCCTTTTGACAATCATCTCCTATCCTCATATTAACTGAGGTGCCACATGCCGAGCCTTAATTGGGACGAATATTTCCCCATCAGCGAACAAAGTCCCCATATGCAATCACCAATAATTTTATCAACCGCATGAGTGAAATGATAATGAACTGTTATTTCCATCATACCAAAGTACAACAGTGGGTATACATTCTCTTGCCATCAAAATTTACTTTACAGGTACGACGCTAGAAAGAATTATAACTCACCAACTTAATGTGTTACCCCTCCCAAGTTTTTGTCATCTGATGCACATCAGAAGAGGAAGATCCAAAAGACAAAAATTTAAGCTTTTCACCAATAAGGACAACTCCGGCAACTGAGAGAGCAAACAAGCAGGATGTCTCTGAAGTATAACCTCTACTATCGGCAACATCTGATAACGAAATCTATCCACACCCTTTTGGATCAGGCTTCCCAAGTAGCTTTCCAGATGCAATCAAAACTAGCCTCCAAACCTTTTGATTCATTGCTTACTGTTGCAAAGCCTCAGCTTTCCGCTCAATAATTACCAGTCCAATTTATCTGTGCATGTTGTGGCTGTTGATAAACACCCGCAGCAGGGCCCACCATTTCTACTGCTCCAGCTGCAGCCTGAGACTGCTGGACAAGAGGATGAACAGCAGCGGATGCAGGGTGGTAGATCCCACCCAAGGCACCATGGCCAGTTTGTGTGGGTGCTAATGTCATATGAGGCGGCATACCGTAGAAAGCAGTAGCAGTCTGAAGACTGGAATTGTCCTGCCCAGGTGCCAGAATCCAAGCAGCTGAACCTTCACTCTGCTAAAGAGAATGGTAACTCGGATATAAATAAGACAAATTACAAGAAATCAGACTTAGTGAATAGAAATTACAGTAGAGATTGTATAAAAGTAATTCGCCATCTGGGCTTGTCCGAACCTGAATCCACAATCACTATATAGCGGCAATATATTTGAAGTAAACCAGTTCTTTTCTTTATTATCATTTATTTTACACTATCCAGGACCAAAAAAAAAACTTGCAGCACCCTTTACAAGCTAATCACAGAAAGTTTAAATATATCATTAATATATTGCTCTAGGACAGTTTATGCTACAAAAGTGTTTCAGCCAATGATTGCTAGAATCTTTGATAATTTGGCTGTGTTCGTGAATTAAATGCATATTTGTTAATTCGAAAACTTCTAGCCTAACAAAATGCAAGCAGATCATTGTCACCTCCGACATGTCTCATGAAGGAAAATTTTGAAGTGATGATCACTTGAACAAACAAAGGGAGCAGCCATAGAGAGACCAAGAGCCATTATAAAAATGATAGTGGCTCTCAAACTTCAATGGCAGCTTTCAGATTTCTGTACTATAGGCAGTAGAATGGTTTTTCTTTCAAATAATCACACATGGATAAAAAATAATATCTCAAATCTAAATAAAAGAAGAGAAAATTACCTGTTGCTCAGAACTATAGATATTATTTTCTTTGAATTGAGTTGAATTGAGATCCTCCTTGCTAGTTGAGTTACCACTACTCACAACAGGACTATATGTGTAGCAAGTTGGGGTGGAGTTGGAACTTCCATAACCCGCTGGGATTCCAATAAAAGCAGAACTACTAATGTTAGGACCAGGCTTATATTGAGAAAGGGAGAACTTGACAGGGGCAGCAGCTGCTGCAGTTCCAGGATGTGGATACATGCTGCCAATATGAGGTTGCTGAGGGAACGCAACGCTACTCAGAAAAGGGTGAAGGGCAGGAGGTGGAACATAGAATGGTGAGAGATATTGACCATATGAAATTGGATAATGCGATAAATGTACACCAGCAGTTTGCCGAAATATGGGAACTGGTTGCTGGGAAACAACACCAGAACTCTGCATGGCACCAACTGCTTGAGTTGCGAGAGGAGTTGACCCAGCTGTAGATAAAATAACAGAGCTCCCATTCTGTAATGGAATAACAAAGCATTGGTGTTCTAATAAGAATAGAAATATAGAGAACACATGGTAAAGAAATCAGTAAAATGCTGAACATGAAGCAGAAAAAAATGTTATTCCAACAAAAAATGTTGTTAACTTGCAACCAAGGAAGTCTCAGTATGATGTAAGATGTTATCACGTAATAAAATAAGATGTCTCTTTCAATAGAAATTAAATGCTAGATATTCTTGCTTCATTTTCATCATGATATCCACGTTGGGAGCATTTGGTTGCCTACAACTAAAATCATCTGCAAGTAGCAGTTGCAGGTCTTGGAAAGGAAGAAGGAATGATTAGGCTGTCTAAAGTAGAGAGAGTTTTGGGGTCGGATATAGTATCTAAATCAAATTTTCTTTTGCAACCCACCTAGAAGGTATGACAAATGGAATTTCAATTGCATATCCACCTGCAGCTGGAGAGGATAAAGTTGTGTAGACAAGCTTCAAGTGGTTTACCTGCATGCAACCAAATGCATGCAAGTGGACTACTTGCTGCAGAATGACCAGCAAGCAGTCCACTTGCAGGCAAGCAACTAAACAGCCCCTTCATGAATTTAGATTAAAAAAATTAGTTTACGTAACATAAGCAATTATCATCTTGAAAAACTTAAGAGACCATCCTTGCTACTAACAAATCTAAGGCCCGGATATACAAATAAATAATTTCATTTAAGTTTGAAATCTATTACATGTTGCAATCGTCATGTGAGTCACCCTTACTACCAGGTATCATTGAACAAAATAATAAAAAATGAATTGTACATGTACCACTATCAAGCTATATGTTCCAGTATTAGTACTTGGTCGGACCATGAAATACTACTTTATATATAATGGTCTGACCGATATTAAAAACATCAGATGGATTAAGCATAATGGGTGACCACATAATTTAAAAATTAACACAGGAAAAATAGGTGGTCACATAATTTTTAGAAGCAGGTTCCTATGAGATCGATAAAGCACTCTGCTTTCACCAATCTCTTGTAAAACTATGTTTTCTTCATGACTAAGAAAATGCATAGAAATTCACCTGAACCAACCGCTTGTTGTGCCTGGCCAAACTGAGTACCAGGGACAACCACCATGTTACTATTGTACCCAGCAGAGGTACTACATGCGAAGAAAGGAGAAAATGACTACTCGCAACAGCAGTAGGACGAGAGAATTGTGAGAACATCAACATACAAAATGGAATTGAAATTGAAATAAATTAGGAGGGCCCACATAATCATTGTGAAGATAACGCTGAGGAACAGAAAAAATAACAAAGAAAGCAAGAAACTTCACCCATCCCAAACCCTATCTAGACTACTAAAACCCGAGTCTGCATTGAATGTGTAAAAGCTGAGACAAAGCAATTGTAAAAGCAAACGTGTAAAAGCATTTGTACTAACCTGAGGCTGCAAATAACCAAAAGTGAAAAAGCAACTACAGCTTAGCTTACCGAGAATCTAATAGTCGAGACAAAAGACCCAAAACTCAAGCGAACATTTTTGTCACATCCTATGACTAATAACCATGTTAGTTACAATGCAATGGACCACACATACAAAATATTAATTCCAACAAATAAGATTGCAATAAACAGAAAATTTTGGATGCTTGAGCTACAATGAATGTGACCATTAAAGGAACAAAAGGCAAAAAAGATCTGCAAAAAGATCTAATAGTAGGAATATATACCACAAAGTTTGGCAGAGTAGTATCACATGCCCCAGGCTCGGAGCTCCAGAAGGGTACAAACTGGTTTCCAAACATTTGCGGTGCCAATCCAAATGTTGAATTCATGGATATAGATGGAACAACTGGAATTTTAGGATCTTCTGGGGCTATAACAGGTTCTTGTTTGGCTTGGCCATACTCTTTTGTAGCTGATGTGCCATAAATCCCAGCTTCCCTTGATGAATAATTTTCTGGCATCTGTCTGGGTGATTGTATATGATCTGGATGGTCTTCTTGAGAAGCTGAGGATGCAATATGAATACTGCACTCGAAAAGAAAGAAACATACAAGGCTAAGAAAACCAAATTTTGACAGCAGAATGGATCAGTAAATTATAGCAAAAATTACCAGAACACAATGTAAAGATGTCTATTTAATTCAATGACAAACACAGGCTTGTTATCAACTAAACTGGCATTTGGCACTTTTCAGAAATTAGCTTTATGATAGGGGATTGTGACACAAAATGTTACAATTGTCTAAGGACTTCACTTTAGGGCATTCTAGTACAGGCATGCGTTACATAATCAAACATCATGATAGAAACTATAATTTTTAATAAACACAGATGACAAACTACCATAAAAAATTAATACATTTACAGGACCATCAACCAAATAGTCTGAATGCCAAGTACTAATGTAATTGATTTGAAAAACAATTCTCCTTTGTGGAGGCACTACAAAGATACATCCTTGTTATATTCACAACCAAGGTGAAGTATGTAAGAAATTTATATCAAATAAGCCAAAATTTTGCTTGAAGAACTAATAGGTGTAGTGAAACGATATAAAAACAAGTGCTTACTGCATGTTAGTGAATGCTGAATGGTCTTCCATGACATGTTATCTCCTGAACTGAATATAACTAAAAGCCATACAACGTGGTCAATAAAACATTATTCTCAACTCGCTAAAATTAATTGATATTGAAAAATTAAAGGGTAGTACACAAACATATCATCTAAACTTCAAATCTCAAATAAACAAGAAACAAGGATCAAAATTGTAGAACAGAACGTCAGTACCAACACAATGGAATATCTGACCATGAAGAAGGCTGCTCAACATTTTCTTCGTTCTCTTGAAGCGATCCTGATAATTGTGTAGCACTCTTGTCACATTTGTCGCCATTTGCAAAACCGACGTTGAAACAGGCATCAAAGCTTCCAAAACTCAACCCATGTCTTTCAGAGCCTGTGACTTGAAGATGATCAGGAATGATCACATGTTGTCTAACTGAGAGTTGCATTTCATCTAGCTTCTTTTCAAGCTTTGAAATAGTTTCCTCCAGTTCAACAGAGCATGAGGCTGGCACTGATACTGACTGAGAGACAGCATTGCCCATCATAGGTACATCATAATTGCCAGCAATTCCAGATGCCTGGGTATGATCCATGTGTGCTGATTTTGGTTTCCACTCCTTATTAGGAACAACTGCTGAATATAAAAAAATCAAACAAGGAGAAGCAAAATGCAAAGTCAGACAACAGAGCACAGACCATGTGCTAAAGCAATATATATATCAAACCAAAAAATAATGTAAAGTAATAATTTCATGCTTTATATAAAAATATAATATCATGTACATCAGAATCAGAAACACTCTTAATTTGTTAAAGCTCACCAATTAATTATCAAAAATTTATTAGACTCAACCCTAACTCTTTTATACATATACTTTAGTAGCTAGAGAGAGGCAACCAGATGTTCCCAAATGCAACCATATCTCAATTGACACCAAGCTAACTGGAAATTACATGTTTAAAAAAGAACCAATAGAATTTGGTGGTTTCTTATCTTAGTACCAGTTTCAACCTTTTTCAGGTGCTAGATAATTTCCATTATCTGCAACTCTCAGACCTACAAATCCACAGATTGATTTCATCATGACCATTGGTAACATCCAAGTTAATCGTAAAATCATAGAGGAGATGTTACTTGCACCAAGACACTGCATTCAACCATATCAATTTTGCAGACCAAACTTGTAGAATCAACAAAATCCTAGCATTCTTTAGTATGTTCCAGTGACATTCAGTTATAGTCATTTACTTGATCTAATACTCTAGATTGTCTTGAGGACTCATTTCCCTATAAATTATCCCATAAAAAGAACCAAGGATGGTAAACATGAAACACATATCAAGGTGATATTGGATAAACCCTGCCCAATGTTGTGATCTACTTATTCATGCATATAAACTTACATTATTCATGTCTATATATGACAATGTAGGCCATGTACCTGTCTGAGGCTTGTTTACAACCAAGAACTAGTTCAGGTGTCCTGGCGATCTCCTACAACAGCAGCATGACCTTAAATATTTAATTATAAAAAACAATCTATCCCAATCATATAGAAAATAAGTTCTCATCTATCATCCCATTGTAAATATTTCTTTATCCAGTAAAGTGGAAGTTGTGTTCCAAGGTTCTTCTGAACAGATTTGCTTTGACAGAAACCCAACACTGATTTTGTGAGTTGACTTCAGGTTCAAAAGCTACAGTAATTACAACATTCTGTTGCTGCCTGGTTATATTTATAACTTCTGTACAATCCACTTTTTCAATCAATGAGTAAAATGTTTGTAATCCACTTTTGAAACTCGTTTCTTAGTGATGCACACAAAGATCACCACTCTAAACCTGATCGAGTGTAACCAGCTAAACAGGAAAGTTCCATTATTAAACGGTCTGAAAATTATCTAACTAAAATAATTTGTTTTCATGTATGAAAGTATATAAAGCATGCTTTACAACCACTTGAGCCTCTTAATCAAGGTTCCAAAAATCAGTGTACCAACAACATTGTCCCAGTGTGATTGTGCACAGTGTGAACATGTACCAGCATAAAAATATACCAGTGTACCGACCATATCGATCACAGGTACTAGTAGTTGTCCATGTATTTAAAACCTTGCTCTTCATTGCCTCCAGAAATGCACTCTTGCTCATTGACATCAATGCTTTAATAGCCTGCACAAAACTCAGGAGAATTCCACCCCCTACCATCTGCAATATTGGCATTTCCTTCTCTGGCTTGGTTCACATCAAATGAATGAATCCTCTGTCATTAAAAACTCTTAAGCTGGTGCATCGGCATCTGGCTCTGTTCACCACTAGTTCAAATCTGACACACAATCTGATATTTGAAGGGTCTACATGGAATGAGCTTCAGTGGTCAAGAACAAGCTAAAAATTAGTCTTGACTGACTGATTCCGTGGAAAACAAGCCAACTCAACTACCATGAAAATCATCAAAGATTACTTGTATTTTGCAGTCATTTTATCTAATCAGAAAATATATCATATCTGTAGGGAAGTTAACCAAGTTAATCACTGATTAACAATTTTAGGAGATGCAAATCTCTTGTCCTTGGGACTCAAGAGATCCGGCAGTGCAAAATTTTAATCGAATCCCCTTCTATCCCCAATTCTTCTGGAGGCTTTTGAACTCATTTAAGTAGTTAATATGTCTCTTTTTTATTTTGAAAAGAAGGAAATAAATTATTAGCCTACAACTTTATTGTTTCATTCAGCAGAGTATCAGCCTTTCTTTTACTTTTACAAGTTAAAAACCCCCCCTTGACACTGATCATCAAGCTGAATATCAGATGCCTGAGAGCAGCATTATTAGGTGCCTATTTCACTCCAAAATCCAACTGAGCTTCATATCTTCTATAAGACCCTACAAGATAATTGAATAAAACAGAAAGATAAGAGAACTATAAGAAAAACCATACTCAATTATACCTAGTTAGATCTTAATAGCACTATTTGATCCCAATCTAACTACACAATTAAAATTATTTGGTTTTGGTGCATATAGGACTTTAATGAAGGAAAACTATGATAATATACTCAAATTATGGCTTTGAAAGTTCATGAATAACATGCTTCCATGTTGATGGCCAACAAAATATTCATCCCCAAAGTTTGATAATTTGACACCTGCACTCTAAGCCCCTGGCAACTCAATGATAATCTTCATCACAAACTAAGTTAACGTAACTAATAACAGTATCCCAAAACTTCAAATAACCAATCTATCAAGACAAGAATATCCCTTATCAGAATATAAGCAACAAAAATGTGAAATACCATGGGTCAAACAGTACCTTTCTGTGAACCAACTGGCTGCTGGGAATGGTTACCATAATTAGATGATCTGCTTCCTGTAGGTCCCATTTCAGAAGATGAAAATGCAGCTTCAGAAGCACCTGTGAGTTGATTTGCTTCAGATCCTTTTGACTTAACCTGGATCTCTCGATTTACATATGAACTGCTCATTTCTTTGGACCCTTTTCCCATCAGAGGTGAGACAGCATCGCACACAACCTTGTTCGTCGCCATTTCAGCAACTGTTTCTCCACACTGGATTACATGCTTGATAGTACCCAGTTTACCTGGGCTACAGCCAACAGGTGATGGCACAGTCACAAGATCTGCAGATGACACATGGAAACATGGAACAGATGACATTCTCTCAAATGATGAGAATTGGTCCAAAATCTAGTGCAAATTGTCCAGATATGGAACAATTTTTCACATCATTATGAAATAACAAGGTAGTCCATATCTTACTGGTTTTAGCAGAACATTCTTCCCTTGAGGTTATGGTACTATCACTAGATACCTGGGACAAACATCCCTGAGATGACAACAACATATCTGTTTCGTTGTGACTGTTTGTGATGCCAGATACAGTGCTGAAATTACTAGGTATTAGAAAGATATAGCAAGCACCGAAAACATAAAATTATGCCAAAGAAAAGGAACTGCATATATTTTTAACTGACAGAAGTAACTACAGAAGAAAACATAGAAAGTTCATCCAATACAAGCATACCAAATTTATTTGAAGCCAAGGCATGTAATTTTCATTGCTTACACCATCAAAACCTGAATCTATCTAGAAGTTGACAGAAAAAAGAACAGTCATTTTAATTTTTAAGTCATGTACTTCATTTTAATGGACTTGTTAACTCTGAATTGGTAAGTTCATAAGAATCAGTTAATAGCAATCAACAGTCAATTTAGATGCCACTCAATTAAACAGCCAACTCATAACTTTTACATTTTTCAAGGGCAACAGTTCTTGAGGAATGGTAGTGCTCTCCTCATGGAGCAATGATACATTTTTCTCTGCAAAGCACCTCAAGAAAACAAGGTCTCGCAAATGTAAGTTACAGATCACCGATAACCCTGTAACCAAGAGGAAGAAGTCTCAACCTCCATAAAAGTCTTGTAAGAAACTATGTTGTTGCCAAACCCCTTAACTAATGATCTCTTTTTTAATTCATCATATTACAAACACTTATGTAATAGAGGCAAAGCATGTGCTCAGTAATGTTACTGACTGGTCCATTCTCTCATCAATAAAAGCAAACTACTCGGTCAACCTCCTCTGCAGGAAAAGCAACACAACAAAAATAATATACTGCTTGATGTCTTCAGTCTATCCAAACAACAATTTTCATGAACAATCACCTTTTTCAAGTTTTCACAAAGGCTATCAACTGCTGCTAAGCCTCCTCATCAATGAACATGGGACTTTCTCATTAGGCCCACAACATAATCAATGTCAAATTCATATCTAGAGCAATCTAACACATGCAACGAATAGGTGGAGAAGGCCAAGTTGCTAATCCACTTAACAACTAACAGCCCAAAGAAATTACATGATACTTGTTTATTTTATTAGGATCCTTTTAAACATCCTGAATGTCACATCATGAATGAACCAAGGAAAAGTCCGTTTTAATTGTGGAAGAGGTAATGTCACAATTCTAGTGAACAAAAATGCAGTATATAATAATAATAATATGTTGAGTGTGAAGTTTGAAAACATATTTTAGTAACTGATGTTCATCAAAGCAATTATCTGTTCAATTGTTTCCGGATAAAATTAATAACTATTTGACTATTAAAGATGAGAACCAGCTTCTCACTGGATGACTTCGCCAAACACCCGGAGTCTGACACCGGATTTCCACAACCCTCTAAAAGACTCCGGGAGACGAAGAAGAAAAAATAAATTTTCTACTCTTCTTGAAGTTGTTTTAGATGCTATTCTCGACATGGTTATGTTTTCAATATCAACCTCCAGACCAAGAAACTCAATACCACAAAATGCAGGCAGTAAACCCAAAGTGATTGTTCCAATTCCATCTAAACACTCTTAATACCATGATATAACGAAACACATATGACATAATACAAACTATGAATCACATTGGACCACATTCGATTTGCTAGGGACTACAGTGTCACAAGCATCTTATTTAAGTTATAGGGACAAAATTTATCAAAATTCAAATCAGGCAAGTAAAAGTGTAAAACTCACTGAACGCTGAGCAAAATCCTCCATGAAAAACAACACTGCATCAGAGCATGCTATTTATCTACGTAGGCATTTGACTTAATCACATGATTCTAGTTTGATGATATCACCAGTCTCCTAGCTCACAAGTACCTTGAGATGAAAGTTGTAGATTTGTTCCCTTTGCCAGTACCAATAGGTAAAACAGATGTAGTGTCTTTGTCTGGGCCTTGTTCCGCTCCATTCTCCTTACCAGAAGTAATGTTTCTACTGTCAGCAACATCTGACAAGACAAAATCATATCCTATTTGTTTCAATAACAAGCAAACTAGAAATAGCACAGTTGCATTGTGACAGCTGCCAATTAACATTTTATGTAATGCATGGTTTAGGTAGAAGAATAAGTAGTTCATGATAATCTGATTCAAGCATTTAGCAGATAAGAAATGTCACCAGTTACAGGATGCACACCAATAGAGTGGAGCTTCATGAGTAATGAGCTCAGACTCCACATACAAACTAGTCAAGTTGGACACAAATTGAGATTTTTGCAGTGGGAAGCATGCAGAGCACTGGTTACATGCTAAATGGAAATATGTCTATCAACAAACCAGTATATTTTTACAGTGAGACTTGTGAAACTGCAGTAGAAACTCAAATGACAATAAGCACATGCAATCAAACAAAATATTCAAATGCATCAAGCTGATTCCTTGACATGAAAATCAAACTGTGTTTTGTAAGGATAAACACATACCATTGGATAAGTAGCGGTTAGAAAAGTTTTGGTGACCTCCGCCACCTCCTCGCCCTAATGCCCCTGGCCTCCATCTACGATCTGAATGCTCTCTCACATTCTGTCAAAATTAATGAACATTAGCAATAGCAACATGATCACACAACATGCTTGTGAGATCATGCCAGAGATGTAAGTCACGAAATCTTGAGTATGACTTCTGATTTCTGAGACATGAATCAAAATCTTAGAACTTATTACATCATCAGCCAACATGAATGAAAAAGATCTACTTGTTTAATTTTTTTAGCTTTCTTAAAGAAATATGAGCGTTGTAACAAAACAGATTGCATCAGTCTAACTTTAGCCATGTAATAGGAAAAAGTTTTTGCTATACTAGAAAAAGCAAAGAAAATGTTCTGCTAGAATACAGACTGGGCTATTATTAGTCAGTATGACTGACCATCGCTTGAGCACAGAGTGGTACTATGCTAGCATAAACCAAAATCAATGATTTGTAATTTGAAGATTGTCAAGGTTAAGAACAAACACAAAGTAAATCCAGTTTACCCCATTTCTCTTATCGCGCTTCCTTTTCACCTCATGAAAAGTGTCTGAATTACAAAAGAAGGAAACTTATTAGTACTTGAAAGATGAAAGTAGAACATAAGCAAGTATGCACGGAAACACGTGCCAACAAAAAGGAGAGGGTGCTGAATTAGCAAATGATGCGTATGTGCTTGTCGGGATAAGAATAAAAAGAAATCTGCCTCAACTAAGTATCAAACTTGGTGCAGCGAAATCTGACTAAGAAAAAGAAGGATCCATACGAAGCAAACTGAAGCTATAAAAGATGTCGCACTATCCTTTAGTCAAATCATTTTTCCCGCTATTATGACACTGATAACAAATTACATTAAAAAGGAAAAAATAATCAACAGGTACGTATCTGCACTCCCATTAAATCTTCAAAAATCAAATATAAACAAAATAAAGGGTTCAGTAAATCAGTAGCAAGAAACGGCAACACTCGACTAAATCCTGTAGAATATTCCACTCAAATTACTCTTAAAAGAGTAAATGTCATGGAGAAGTAAAAGGAATGGTGAGACCAGTAAGTCAAAATCGATTCAAAGAGAAATGTTTGTAATAAACCGGTCAGACAAGAGAGGCAGCAAATGAAGATATCGTATAATAGCCAAAATATTATCTCAATGTCAAAAAGTAACTTCTTTCGTCCTCAAAATGCACGGTTAACTAGTGATCCATCAAAATATCAACTAATCGACTTAAACCATAACAACGAAAAGCGTCTAAACAAGTTCAACAAGGGTAAGAAGCTAGCTCAAAAGTGCACCAAAAATGAGGAAACGGCATCAACCAAGGAACGGCAACCCGGAGCATGATATCAGCTCATAAAATCCAAATAAGGAATCGAGAAATCAAGCCACTTCCAGGAGAGGGAACAGGGACTGGGAGGAGGAAAGAGGAGACCCTGGAGGAGGAGCTTCTGGGCGGTCTCGTTGGGATCCATGGCGCACTCCTTTAGCATCGAGTAAATATCTTCGTCGGTGTGGTGGCCGGCGATCTCCTTGATGTTCTGGATCGTCCGCCGCACGCTCGGCGGGATCGAAACCCTAGCGCCGCCGCCGTTCATATTTGAAGCTACAGCGAGAGCGAGAGAGGGAGAGAGACGAGGAGAAAGGAATGGGGTCTACGGGAGAGAGAGAGAGAGAGGTGGGGGGGGCAATAAAGTAATATAACGCTGTACCCCGACGCAAACAAATACGTACGAGTCCGGCATGGTGGGAAATTTCCTACTTTATATGAGTTTTTTCGCATTTACAATAACATTACTTTTTTTTTTCTTGAACGAATTTTCTAGAAAATATCTATATTTTGAATATTTTTTTAAAAGTATCACTCTTTTAATTTTTTTATTTTATTAAATTTTAATTATAAAAATATTTTGGTTTTTACTCTTTATGATGTTTATGGTGTTTTATTGAGATACTGAAAATTTTATAAATATTATTAAAAAAATATTATATGAAATATCATATTATATCTTTTTGATTGTCATTGGTCATGAGTCAGTATAATATCATATATTTGGATTCATAATTAATTTGATTATGATTAAAAATATATTTATATTATTTAATAGTATTTTTAAGTACATCTTATATAGTCTTTCTAAAGTGATATTGTTTGAGTATTTTTATAATTAGAGATGATGTTTGAGAAAGAATAAAATGGAGATATGAAATACTCAAAATATGAATATTTTGTAAAAAAATCTCCTTTTTTTGTTCTTTAATTAATTATATATATTTTTATAGTAATATAAAAATTAAGGTGGGTAGAAAATGTGAAGAAACAGCGAGACATATAATAAATTGAATTGATGTAATAATATGTAGCGTCGGTGTGATCAGTTACAGCTTCGTCTCTTACGACGGTAAGAGATCAATGGATGTGCATTTCTGGGTTATCGTGATCCGATTGCATTTGATGCGGGAATAAGAAGGGAGTGACGTGAGGGTTTCATCGACTACTTCGAGTTTAATCCCTTCTATCAAATCCAATAGCTTCGCTTATTGGATGATTACAAATTAGAGGTTCGCTTATTGGATGATTACAAATTAATTTAGAGGTGGTGTGCATTATTTAGATAAAGAGGTACCCCCAAAGCATGATGTGATAAAAAATAAAGATCCATAAGGGTGCTTTGGTCCAACATGTCATCGATATTATACAAATAATGAAAATTATCCGTTTGCGTCATGTGGTTTTGATTTATAGCGTTATATTTTTAAATTATTTTTAAGTTTAAGACAACGTGATATGATTGATATAATGTTTATACTTTGATAAAACCATTTAGTTCGTATGTGAACCAACGACTTATAAGTTTATCGGATCTCCCTTACCAATAGAGACGTCGTTTGGAACTCACATGTTTTGAAAATGATAAAATCGTATGAGATCGTTCAAAACGAACAATTCCTTGTGAACCTACGAGCCACGCCACTAACCAAATGGTCTATTTGACCGTTTATCATAGCTATCGACCTCCGATTCAAAGACACTTTTTGTTTGTTTTAAATAATATATTAAGTTTGATATTATATATAGATAATAAAACAAAAAATACTATATTACGGATGTTCAATTTATTTATTTGAGAAAGTTCATGATATCTTTTTTTTTTTTTTTGCTCTTCCTCTCCTCGTTTTAAGAATAATGACCATATGTTCAAAACAACAAAAAATAATGAGCAATGTGCTCAGCCATTCGGATCCCAACCCGAATCGTACTCAAAAAGTCCGAAACCGCGATCGTTCGCCAGCCGTTCGTTCTGGAATCTGCGGTTCCGATCGACATCTTGTTCCGAGCTCGGACGACCATCCAGATGCGGCTGCGTGTCACGTGATTCCCACGCCCACGAGCCCAACGTCTCCACGAACCCTACCTAGCTCGGATTCCTGCCCTCCTCTTGTTTTCCTCACTGACCTCCTCAGCGAAATCCTAACCTTGAGATCTTTTTGGGGCCGTCGCCATGGCCTCCAGAATGCAGGATCACGATGGTGCGAGTCCCGCGTAAGTTTCCTCTTCTATTATTCGCGTTCTCCCCTTCTTTTTCTAGTTGTTGACGTCCTGCTCTTTTCTGGATGCTTTCTTGATGATATTCTCTTGTTCGGCAGAAAGATCTTTATTGGAGGGCTTCCGAAGGATACGACACTCGGTGAGTTTCTATTTTGTTTTTGACCTGTCAAAACCTTATCGATCATTCTCGCGAAGCTGTTCTTTTCGATACCGCTAGCTCTTTATTTATTCCCTTGCTCCCTTTTTTCTATCATTATTCTGACCTTTAGAGTCGTTCGCCAGAGATATAGCTTCTTCATATTGTTAAAGCTCAAGATTTTACTGTTGGAGCTATCATACGCCGCTTTACTGTTATCTCATTGCCAGTCTACTTCAAGATACGCATGCGATAAAACTCCTGCGATTCTATATTTTTGTCTAGCTACATGTAGATGGAGAAAATTTTGCAACTGTCAAACCTATGTTTTTGGTTGAATCGTCTTTGTTCTACAAGTTGCGCACCTTATGTTTTCAATATATCTGTACTTCTTTGATTGAATATCTGATCTCTTGCTGATTCTTGTGTTACAATTGTAGTACATCAACTGTCGGTAATTCACCAGGCAGTTTATTCGCTGTTCCATGAGAATCACATCGAACTCCACCAGCAGTTTCACCTTATTCATCATGCATGCTTGATTTGTTATTTATATTTATTCAAACTATAACCACAGCTGTGTATTTCACAATTGATAGCCGTCCAAACTTTTCCATTTTGTTTTTGTGACGCCATGACCCATACAGAGTTATTCAAATATTTTCTGAGATATTGATGTTAACGTATATAGTCTTTTGTCCCTCTTGTTTGTGGAGTATGTGGAAGACTTTGTTTGTCAAATGTCATGACTTTAAGATATTTATGAACATTTGCTACTTAATTTCTGTTAATGTATCTTCATCTTGATCCTGTGCTGATATAACAGAAACATTTGTTAAACACTTTGAGAAGTATGGAGAGATAGTAGATTCAGTGATAATGAAAGATCGAAACACAAACAAGCCAAGAGGGTTTGGATTCATCACCTACAAAGACGCTGCAGTTGTTGACCAAGTCATCGAGGACACACATGTTTTTAATGGAAAAATGGTATGTGCCTTTATGGTGATTTTAGTGCATTAGATATCTAAAAAAACTCAATTTTGGGGGCTTGTTTGTTTTCTTCTGTTTTTATATTCAGTGTCTAACTGCTTTTTGAGTGACATTTGTCCTTGTGACATGCATATGGTCTATATGTTGGACTTTCATTTGTTGTCTTATCCTTTGCGCATATATGTATCTATCCTATTATAATATGTTATTTTAATCTATCATCTTATTCTTTTGTTTGGAATTCCCATCTTTTCTTTATCCTTGCAAAACAACATGGAGTCTGCAAAAATGATGTGAAATGTTTGTAAGGATGACAATGGTTGAGGTAGTTAAATTTTACTCAAAACTGTACCTATCATGCCCGCTCAAATATCTTAATTCTGCCCCACCTTGCCAAAGAAGGATTTTAGAAACCATCTCTGAACTCACAAAAAAACAGAAGGTATCCGTTTCTTTTTGCCCCAGCCCGATTGAATAGCCTATGGAAATATATGCATTACAGTTTGTATATGCTTTAGTTAAACTTGCAAGATTTTAGGGAAAAATAATTATGTTACATTGCCAGACCTAGGGTAGGGTGGGGTGGGAACACGAGTGGCACACTCACTGAAGGGTAGGTGGTTTTTTTCCCACCCAAAATTCTGATTCTTCTTAAAATATTATGCCCTTGACCGTCACCCACTTTGTTGCCAAAGTTGTAACCTGGCTGGTTTGGGCCGATCAACTGTGGGTTGGATTTGCCATCCCTAATTGTTGTTGGCAGTAGTATTTGTCCTCTAGGTATGTAAACCTTTTGATGGTTTATGATCAATTTGTGTTTGCTTTTCTTTTCACCTTCTCATGCCAATAGGGCAAAACTAATTTCTCATGAGCTGAATCTGCAGGTGGAAATTAAAAGAACTATTCCAAAAGGTGTCGCTCCTTTGAAGGATTTTAAGACAAGAAAGATATTTGTTGGTGGAATACCAATAACGCTTACTGAAGGTGATGCCTCTTTGTTCTGTTGTATCTATCATAGCCATTCAACCATACATGCTGGCAGCAACAGGGCTTGATCTTTTGGTTGAAACTCAAACAGATGAATTCAAGAACTTCTTTTCTGAGTTTGGAAGGGTGGAAGATCATGAAATTATGCGTGACCATACAACCAACAGATCTCGTGGATTTGGTTTTATAGTCTTTGAGAAAGAAAAAGATGTAGATGATTTATTAGCCAAAAAGGGAAATATGATCGATCTAGCTGGTACTAAGGTGAGTCTAGTGCAATGTTTCGTAGGAGGACTAAAGCTGCATTAGCATCGGCATGCCGTTTTTTGTTTTGCATGCATGTTCATTATTTGTTTTAGGACCATTTTATTGGATGAGGATTTGGTAGAGGCTTAAGCTGATTAGGTTGTGAGGTTTTGGATCACTTTTGCTTGGCTTTTTTAGTTAGGGGTATTGCATGTGTGTATATTCTTCTGTATTGTCTCTTTAATATGTATTATGCGGGGCTTGGGTTGATGTTGTTCATTCATTGTAGGTGGAAATCAAGAAGGCTGAACCAAAGAAATCTGCGAATGCACCACTTTCTGCTTTTGGTGGTGAATCTAGGGCTCGTCACTATGGGGATAGTTTTGGTGGATTTGGTGGCTCGTATGGTGGCTTTGGTGGTGGTTATGGCCCTTCATCTTACAGGGCACCAGGAGGTTTTGGTCCTAGACCCGGGGGTTATGGTGGTTATGGGAGTGTCTCTGGTGAATATGGTGGTTATGCTGGGGGCTTAGGGGAGTACCATGCAGAATCTTCACTTGGCTATTCTAGTCGTTTTGGTTCATATGGGGGAGGGTTTGGTGGTGGTGGAGGCTTTGGTGGTGGCTACGGAGGTGGTGGTGTACGTGGGCATGGGCGTGAAACTGGGGGTTACCGTGGTTCTAGCTATGGAGGTGGTTATGATTCTTCTCCAGGTGGTTATGGACTCTATGGTAGCAGAGGAGGAGGCTATGGCGGTGGTG